TGTGGCGACTTCACTAAGGCACAATTAAAGCGCACGACTAGAATATGGCGTAATTAAGCCCAAGGCGCAGGCCTTGAGAGCTTTTTTTTTTTTAATTCGAATTGGACCACTGAAATTGCATAGGTCAGCTACAGCAGATCATATCCTTCAAATATACATGCTAATATTGTCGATTTAGCCCCAAATCAACAAATGACAGAAGAAAAAACAAGGCCTAATTCAAAGCTCCAAAGAAGTCGAACTCATCGTCCAGTTCAGGAGCTTCGAATGTGCAGGTATGTTCTTCTCTTTGTTTCTTTGTCTTTTCTTTACCTTCTCTTCGTCTCTTCCCTTCTCTTCTCCTCACCAGTCTTCGTTTGCTCTTCTTCTTCATCATGTGTTATTCTCTTCTTCTCTTCTCTTTCACATGCTACCTTCTTATTTTTTTGTTTATTTTTTGGAATGCTCTGTTTTTGTCTATAGAGTTAGGCTGAGTTGATATTTTTAGGGCTTCAAATATACCCATGCAGTCTTCTTCTTCTTCTTCTTCTCTGCTTTTCTTCTTTTTATTTTATTTTATTTTCTTCTTTGCTCTTCTTCTCTGTACTGCTCTATTTATTAATATTTATTATGAATTGCTCTGTTTCTTCTCTACTTTTATGATTTCATCGACCTTTAGATCATGGATATTCGTGTTTTATATTGAACTTTGGAATACTACCCATTTGTCTATGTTAAAATAGTGATATTTGTTGGTATTTATTTTTTAAAATGTTCAATGTTTCATTTTGTTTATGTTATACCAGTTAGTTATTTGCTTATATGCCTCATATTAAATTATATTATTTTAATTTGCCATGGTGCGCCTTATTTCGATGAAGCTCGCACCTTGCCTTGCGCCTATGCCTCAGGATACCTTGGCGCCTTGGTGCGCTTATTGCTTTTAATAACACTGGTTTTTACAAACAATAATGTCTCTGAGTTTCATTGTGAGTCTTGTCAACTTGGAAAACAACACAGAATTTCTTTTGTTCCAAGCTTTAATAAAAGTTTGGTACCTTTTTTCTTAATTCATTCTGATGTTTGGGGTCTATCTCGTGTTGTATCTTTAAAAGGTTATACAGATGGTTTGTTACTTTTATCGATGATTTTTCTCGTACTACTTGGGTGTATCTTATGAAAGACAAAAGTGAGGTTTGTTTTGTGTTTCGTAATTTCCATAAAATGATATGTACTCAACTTGGGGTGATTGTCAAAATATTGCGTTCTGATAATGGGGGTGAAATATATTGATTCTGGTCTAGCAAGTTATTTTTCCACTCATGGCATTATTCATCAGACTTCTTGCACCAACACCTCTCAACAAAATGGGGTTGCGGAATGCAAGTATTGTCATCTTCTTGATATAGCTCGGTGCATGTCTTTTTCTATGCATGTGCCTAGGTGTTACTGGGGAGACGCAGTTCTCATTGTTGCCTACCTCATCAACTGTCTCCTATCCCAAGTATTGCACAAAAAATCTCCTCTTCTGGTTTTCTTAGGTTCTGAGTCTGTATTCTATATTCCTCCTAAAATCTTTGGCTATGTTTGTTTTGTCCACAATCATGCTTCTTCTCATGGTAAGTTTGATCCACACTCTCTAAAGTGTGTCTTTCTAGGTTACTCTCCCACTCAAAAGTGCTATAAGGGTTACCATTCTTCATCTTGTAAGTGGTTTGTATCCATGGACGTCATATTTTTTGAGTTACAATCCTATTTCTTGTCACAGCCCTTCTTGGGGTCCCAGTCCTCCCTTCAGGGGGAGCCTTGGTGTGAAGAGATTCCTGGGTCTGTATCAGTTCCTGGCTCATCCCTAGTGGTTGACAACATAAAAGATGACCTTGCTACTAGTGGTGGAAATACATAATCTAATGAATTGAAGGAAGGAAAAGTCTATGTCAGGGACAAAGACAGACAAAAAATTACTTGGATATAAGATACCACTTCTGATCATCCACAACCATCTTTTTCTTCCAATGAAAGTCCAAGTCACTCTGAAATCCTTATTCCTCCTGAGTATACTGATCTTGATATTCCTATTTCCCAACGAATGGGTGTGAGGTCTTGTAGTAAACATCCGATTTCTAACTTTGTGTCATATTCTAACTTATCTCCTTCTTGTAGAGCTTTTGTGTCCAAAGTTTCTTCTATTAATATACCTAATCATTTTCAGGATGCTCTTGCTACCCCTGAGTGGAAACATGCCATGATAGAAGAAATGAAAGCACTTCGTAAGAATGATACTTGGAAATTAATTGAGTTACCTAAGGGCAAAGACCTGTGGGATGCAAATGGGTGTATACTGTGAAGCATAAAGCGGATGGTTCAATTGAGCGTTACAAACCTCGACTAGTGGCAAAGGGCGTTACTCAGACTTACGGAGTAGACTATCAAGAGATCTTTGCACTAGTGCCTAAGATGAATTCAGTTAGAGTTCTTCTCTCTCTTGCAGCTAATCTAGATTGGCCTCTTCATTAGTTTGATGTAAAAAGTGCTTTCTTACATAGTGATCTAGAAGAGGTGTATATGGACATCCCTCCGGGCTTTGAGGACCATCAGACAAAGAGTAAAGTATACAAGTTTCGGAAGTCATTATATGGTATCAAACAGTCTCCAAGGGTTTGGTTTGAGAGATTCCCTCAGGTTATGCTCTGATATGGATTCAAACAGAGTCAGACTAATCACACTTTGTTTGTGAAGCATTCCTCACATGATAAGACTACAACTCTCATTGTTTATGTGGATGACATGGTGCTTACAGGAGATGATACTGAGGAAATACCCCGGTTAAAGAAATATCTGGCGAGTGAGTTTGAAATAAAAGACTTGGGAAATCTGAAGTATTTCCTAGGCATTGAGGTTGCCCGGTCCAAGGATGGAATTTTCATCCGTCAGAGGAAATATGTTCTTGACCTGTTGAAAGAAACTGGGAGGCTTGGGAGAAAAACTTATGATACACCATTGGAGCCAAACTAGAAACTTAGTGATGATAGTGGGGGAGCTATTGTTGACAGGGGGAGTTATCAGAGACTAGTGGGTAAGCTCATTTTCTTATCCCATTCTCGTCTTGACATTGTCATGGTAGTAAGTGTGGTTAGCCAGTTCATGCATGCTCCTCATGAGACACACTTAGCTGCAGTAATGCGCATCCTTAGATACCTAAAATCTTCTCCAGGAAAGGGTCTCTATTTCTCCAAACATGATCATCTTCGAGTGGAAGCTTATACAGATGCTGATTGTGTAGGATCATTAATTGATAGAAGGTCCACATCTGGTTATTGTACCTTTGTTGGAGGTAATTTAGTTACTTGGAGGAGTAAGAAACATAATGTAGTCGCTCGGTCTAGTGCAGGGCCGAGTTTAGAGCCATGGTACAAGGTGTATGTGAACTCTTATGAATCAAGTTGTTGCCAAGTGATCTAGGGATTAGTCACATTGATTCCATGCGACTGTAATGTGACAATAAGGTTGCTACTAAAATAGCTCATAATTCGGTTCAGTATGACCAAACGAAACATGTCGACATTGATCGCCACTTCATTAAGGAGAAACTCACTAGTGGCACTATATGTACTCCTTTTGTGAAGTCAGATGAACAATTGACAGACATTCTCACCAAGGGAATTGAAAGCAAATCATTCCATGATGTGCTTGGCAAGCTGGGCATGAGAGATATCTTCACACCAGCTTGAGGGGGAGTATTAGAATAATATCTTAGGTGATTGTCTATTATTAGAATAATATTTTGGGTGATTGGGTATTAATTGGTTTATTAGTTGTTATTTCCTTATTTTATTATTTCCATATTTGTGCCTCCAAGGCTTCCATTGTAAGCTACCTATTATCTATATAAAAGGGGATGATTGTCTAATCATTCCCTAAGTTTTTTTCTCTTTTAATAAACAATCGAATGTAGAGGCTTTGTGGGATAGGGTGGTATATTTGGCTTCGTTTTGGGCATTTGTATCACCTCATTTTAAAGGAGTCTCTTTGTTCTTGATCTCTAGAGATTGAGCTGCTGTTTGCCATCCCTAGAGCTAGGAGTTTTGTACTTTTGTTTTGTTGTTTCTCCTTCTTTGTATAAGGACTTCTTGTCCTCTTTCATTTTTCCTTTTTTAATAAATTTTTTGTTGATGCTCAAAAAAAAAAAAAAAAAATTATGAATAATAAACCATGTAAAATTTGTCCCTGCATGAACTTCACACTAGTTGTCTACATGCTGTAAAAAATTATATACGTTTGAGTAGAGTTGAACACCCAAACTGTGTAGATAAAGATGCAGAGGATGTTCCTAAGTCTTATATTATGTGTCTCCCCCATTTAAAGGAGTTCCACCTTTTCTGATTTCGAAGGATTCGGGAGCTGTTTGTCAATCTTAGTTTTTTGGAACGCTTATTTGTTGTCTTCTTTGGTCTTCGTTGTTTTCTCCTTATTGTATGAGGACATCTTGTCGTTCCTTTGTTATCTCTTTTTAATTAATTAATAAAATTCCTTTTGTTGCTGTTCAAAAAATAAAATAAAAAATATGCACTATATATAAGTGTTCAAGACATATCACCATACACATACCCAAGTTTTGGATACATATTCCTATATCCTAAGATTTAAATTTCGGAAAGTGACCCTTGGACATGCAGTCGAACCCTGCTCTTTTACCTCAGTCCATGTAACATATGATGCCGTTGAGAGAGCGTGTCACTTGTGTTATATAAGTTATTCTGAAAATCAGAACCTAACAGAAACTGAATTTTTAAATTTAACCAAACTGAGTAGGCCAAAAGTACTTAAAAAAAAAAATTGGACAATAACCGATTAGTTTCATTTGGTTCGGTCAATAATAAACATTATTTTTTTGTGGGTTTTTTTTTTTTGGGTATGCTCAGAGATGACTTAGATGCATCTGTTTTAAGTTTGATCCTGCTCTTTTACATAAAACACCATGTTAATTTGTAATGTGGAAAGTCTTTTTAATGTGATTTCAGCCAAGAGATGCCAAGATCAAGTTTCAGTGTAGAGCTTGATGCTGCCAATGCAACTTGGTTATTAAATGACGTGGCCATGCTGTCAACTAAAACTGGGGAACTTCTTCTGCTGACACTTGTTTATGATGGGCGGTATGTGATTGCTGTTTTTTATTGTCCCTTCTTCCTTTTAGACAAGATTTAGATGATATTTGTAATGCATGTACCTCTTTTTCTTCTGCAACTCTGTTGGCATTTCTGAGAAATCTGCGTTTTAATTGAGATGGGTGGTGCTGTTTGCACTCCCCTTTTCACTAAAAACACTCCACATTTTTGTCATTATTATTCAACTTTTACACAAATGTCAAAACTGACCCTCAGGAGGGGAAAAACAAGTGTAAAGGTTTAAGAGAGGCAATTGAGGTAATTGACAAAAGTGTGAAGGGCTTTATTGTAATTTTGTCTATTAAAAACAAAAAGTTTAGTATATCTAGTGAAAAGGGGAGTGTGAATTGGGCCGCCCTTTAATTATGTTACTTTCAAATTGTCTGTGGAGGAACTTGTCATATTCTTTAGTTCAAGTTTTATTGCATTAATTTATTTTCAAAATATAGAAGGAAAATCAAAGAGAAAAAAAAGTGAAAAAGAAGTATTCTTACCGTTTTAGAAGGAGCTATTCTTTCATAGTACTCAGTTTTTTTCCTTCTGTAAAAGTTCTGTGCGAGATGTTCATACAAATCTTTACTCTTTTGATCGATTCTCTTACTAACCCACCCTTCTTTCCCAAATTAATAATTGTATTTATTTTTATGCCAACTAACCTTATTAAGCTTGCTTTGATGAATTGAATAATTTTTATGTTGGGAGGATAAAATACCCATGATCTGTTGTATTGTGGCTTGCAACCAAATCTTTGTTTTATGCTAGTTTTTTTGTGTGCATTGGATACTTGTCTTGCTATGTTACGATTTATTGTCATTTAAGTTGCTTGTTAATAAGTTTCCAACGTTTTATGTGAAAAACAGTTTTTGCACCACTTTATGCCATGATTATGTTATTTAGAAGTTGTTTTGTTTTTGTTTTTGGAAATGTACACTAGTAAAGAGAAAATGAATACTATGACTAATACATTAAGGAGATGCATAAAAACGCATAAAAAAAAGCTTTAGGATGGATTGCATGATTTTCTGGCTTTACTTCGCATAATCTTAAGTTATAAGATGTGAAGGTTTCCAAGATCTTGTTTATATAGTGAAGTACATGGATGTGGAAATCTTTTTGAGAGAATCTGCCCTGGTGGTGGCATGGGCATTGGATTGATGGTTACTCACACGAGCCTTTATTTTTGTAGTAAAATATGCTTTCTTCCCCTCCTTTCTTACTCTTATCAGATCAAATTTCCAACTCATGACAAAATTACGACATCAATTTTTTTCTCCAAACTCAATCTGTTATTACCACTCTTAGTCTAAGATATGAGAATATAAGGAAAATTGTGGTGCTTGTGATGAGAAAAAATTGAATTTAAAGGCATAAATATAGACTAATAATTGCCTGCAAGTGTTGGGAGTCTTTAGGGAGCTCCGATTAGGCTGTCAATAACACTTGGTGGGGGTTTGTGGTCAGCCAAAGCAGAGGCCCAAGGAGGTTAGAGATTCATCTAGTGTTTGGCTGAAAAACAGAAAGGAACATACGTTCACGTAAACAATAGTTACAATTTCTTGTTGAGTCATATTCTGGTTTTTCCTAGACTCACACTGGCACTTATCGTGTAAATGAATATCTTAGTGTACCACATGTTCTTTATCCCACCTGCAGGGTCGTGCAGAGACTTGATCTTTCAAAGTCAAGAGCTTCAGTACTTACTTCGGTCAGCCTCATTTCTATAAGCTCTTCACACTGTTGTACTTTTAAATTTGTTATCCCTGGCTTATCCATTGTAATTGTTTGACTAGTTTTCTACTGGTCTGTAGGGAATCACCACAGTTGGAAACTCATTATTTTTTTTGGGTAGTCGACTGGGAGATAGTTTGCTCGTGCAGTTTTCTTGTGGCATGGGAGCACCAACATTCCATCATGGTCTGAAGGAAGAGGTTTGTATTGGAAGTCAGTGATTAACTTAGTTTGCTATGTTCTTTTGCACTATGGATAATTTATCACTGTCTAATATATTTCCTCCTTTTGACCCTTGATCTCTTGGACCCATGGCTCTTAATTATATTTGATTATCAACAGAGTGGTCTTGAAATGCCAAATGCTGTTGGATTTGTCGATGCATTCTTGTTTTCATAAAATTTTGTGGAATTCTTGAAATTGTTTTCAAATGTTTCTGATATTCTTGTACAAAATCTCCAAGGAAATAATTTTCAGCACTAAATTGCCTTTGTCTTTCTATGTTTTTAGGTTGAAGATATTGAAGGAGATGTCCCTTCAGCAAAGAGATTAAGGAGATCACCATCTGATACTTTACAGGAGATGGTTAATGGCGAGGAGCTTTCCTTATATGGTTCAGGTCCAAATAATGCACAGTCCGCACAGGTTGAGTATAATTCTGTGACTACTACAGCCTACAGGCCTTTGTTCTGTTCCTTAGGTTTTCCCAATAATGAAATTTGGATGGCACCAAAAAGCATTAAACAATAACCAAAGAACACACGAACGCGAGAGCAAATGAGGACAAATTGGTGCCTTCCAGAGAAATTTTCCTTGCTTTCTCCTAAATCACCTTGTATCAAGACTAATAGTTTCTAACTAAAAATTGTAGACCAATAGTTTATAAAGAATGTCCTTTTTGAGTCGGGACCTTTTAATCTGCCATTATTTAAAAAAAAGGACTTGTTGGATGAGAGAATAGGCTGAATTGATGCCAGTGAGGGATAAATGATGGACAATGGACATCAATCCTGCAATGAATAATATGGCATTTATTTTTCCTTACAACATATGTGATTTTTGTACAACAGCTCCACAAAAGTAGAATAAAGGTAACCCTTTGTACAACATAAGGGTTATCTTTATTCACCTAGTCAATTTAAGATCAGCCTAAAAGTAGTGTGAATTGTGCTGTGGACTAACTCTGTCCTGGGTGCTCACCTGGGAATAAATTGAATGTAGATGCTTGATATATTCCTTCCTAGTCATCCAAATTTCTTGAAATTTTTGTCTTGAGTGTTCAGCAAACGTTATGGTTGTGAGTATTTGTTTGCCCCCATTTGTGTGGCATGAAGTTGTATTAGGAGGAACCATGTTGTTTGGAACAAGATACTCTGCATTCTAGAAACATGATACCAAGATCCCGAAATAACCAAATCAAACCAAACTAAGCCTTGACAGAGGCCCAGAATTATCCAGATTAAATTCAAGAGAAATTTTAAGTTTTATCCATAGTCAAAGCACGACAAGCATGCAATGAACAATTTTTTTATTTTATTTTATAAAATATAAAAGAATGCAGCTGTAAGCAAAAAATCTGTAATAATGGAAAGAGTAGTAACCCATTGATTTAAAGTGATATAGGTTGAGTTTTCTGCTTTTCTTTCTATCCTTTTTTTTTTTTTTGTGCAAATTTTGTTTTAGAAATTTGAACAAATCAACAAAAATTATAGATTTGTCTATATGAAATACATATACATTTAAAAAAATGTCCTAAATTTTGCACTCTCTTCCTGTGCCCAAGTCTTACTTTATTAGAGTTTGCTATTTCAGTATGTCTGTGTCATTTTGGTGTGTTTTATGTTGCTATTGTAGCATGGATTCACATCATGCACCTGTCATTCTTTCTTTATTTTTCATCTTTTGCAGCTTTACCAACATTTACTTTCTAGTGAAATTGATTTGTCTTCTTGGGAGTTTGTATTTTGGCTTTTATCTTTAATCTAGCAGCTTGTTTACATTGTTTATCGTCTTATTATTTATTTTCTAGTAATGTTATGCTTTCTTGATCCATGCAGAAGACTTTCTCATTTGCAGTGAGAGATTCACTGATTAATAAATTCTGCACTCTCTTCCTGTGCCCAAGTCTTACGTTATTAGAGTTTGCTATTTCAGTATGTCTGTGTCATTTTGGTGTGTTTTATGTTGCTATTGTAGCATGGATTCACATCATGCACCTGTCATTCTTTCTTTATTTTTCATCTTTTGCAGCTTTACCAACATTTACTTTCTAGTGAAATTGATTTGTCTTCTTGGGAGTTTGTATTTTGGCTTTTATCTTTAATCTAGCAGCTTGTTTACATTGTTTATCGTCTTATTATTTATTTTCTAGTAATGTTATGCTTTCTTGATCCATGCAGAAGACTTTCTCATTTGCAGTGAGAGATTCACTGATTAATGTTGGTCCTATAAAGGACTTCTCTTATGGCTTAAGGATTAATGCTGATCCAAATGCGGTGGGAATTGCTAAGCAAAGTAATTATGAACTGGTTGGTTTCTCTTTCTTCAAACTTGATGCTAATAATAAGGTTTAGGGCATTAATTTGATCATGCTTCTGCTGTCTGGTTATACATGTTATTGAGTACAGTTGCTGTTAAATGCTATTATTTGAAAATCTTTTCTTAAATTATTATTTTTTGCTTCTTATTAATCCATACTGGACTGACATTCCTAAAGCAGCAAATCATACAATTCTAATGGTTTATTGCTTTGTACATTTGTAATATGGTAACCTTTCTTACTTACCAAGAAAAAAAGAAAAATGGTAGCCTTTGTTGTTTTCATTTGGGTGTACTTTTCAGGTGTGCTGTTCTGGTCATGGTAAGAATGGTGCTCTCTGCGTGCTTCAACAGTCAATTCGGCCAGAAATGATGACTCAGGTATGTCCTGATACTATAGTTTGATGTACTTGATGAATACTTTGTCTCCTATTTTGGTGTTTTGGTCCTTTTTCACCCCTCGTATATACTTTTAATAACAGTTAAGGTGGATTGTTTCTAGATATTTACCTTTGTTTAACCAGTGGATTGTTTCTAGATATTTACCTTTGTTTAACCAGTTTATTTACTTTTGAATAGTCTCCTCAATTTTAGACAAATGTAAATGCTTTTCTGCATTTTTTGTTTCTCACTGACAATCGGTGCTCAACTTTTTGTTGTCCATTGTGCTCCACTTTTGCCTTCCTTCTTTCTCTCTCCTATTGTTTCAAGCCCTGATTGGCCCTCCTTGTAATCTGATTGATTGAAATAAATTGCACAGGGCATTTTTTTAAATGATGTCATACTTCCATGAGAAGAATTGGCTTAATGTAACTGCTGTAGATGAGGCAGTTTCTGGTTTCTTGTTTCCAAAGCCACCAGAATGGACAGTCTACTGTTAACGTTGACTCATCATGCCTTGGACTATGTGTATGAACCATACGATGTGTTTGCCTTTTAAATCCATATGTTTGCCTTTTTCTTCAATAGAATACATTTCTATATTTACAAATTAATAAATTTACCTCTGTTTTAAGGAGTTTTGGTGCATATGGGCACTTGCACTTTCGTTCACAGTTTCCCTCATATTTTGCCAACGAATAAGCTCGTTTTATATATGCTTGCTTCTGAAGTGACATAAACTTAAATAGTTTTTGAGGAATGCATGAGCTCTGACTTTGCTTGATGAGTTCTTTAGGTTGTTTATTTAATAATTCAACGTGGACCTTTTCCATGCAGCAGATGGAACCTTGTACACATGGACACATGCTTTTGGTTAGCAACAATTGAAAATGTAACTTTTTTACTTTTTCCAGGAACAATTACCTGGTTGCAAGGGAATATGGACTGTTTACCACAAGAACACACGCAGTCATAATGTTGATTCTTCAAAGACGGCTTTGGAGGATGATGAATATCATGCGTATTTGATTATTAGTTTGGAGAATCGAACCATGGTATTTACGTTCTCATGTCATTTTCATTACAAAAATTGAGTACGTTTGTGAAATCTATCCATTCTGTTACAAGTACTTGTTCATAGTCATTAAATTGGTCTTATTGTTTTATTATAGTTCTATTAGAACACCTTTGAGTGCCACATTTTTTTGATGTATTTGTTGGGATTGGTTGCTTTGTCTTGTATAGATTCTTCTAGTTTTCTCGGTTGGAAATAATTTTCTTCTCTTTTTTCTTTTCACATAAATATAGTTTTGTGATTGGAGTTGTTGTTTGATTGTTGTTTTCCTTGTTAGATTTGGCTAGACTTTCTGCAAGTCTGGAAAGATTATAGTGTTTCCTGGCTCTAGCCTGTTTTGTTGCTTCTTTTTAGTTTTTATTTCACAGGTGGAATGCCCCTTATAATATTTTGTATAATATGTTTTCTTCCTTCATTGAATTATTTTACCTAAAAAATAAAAAAAAGGGGAGCTTTTTTGACAACTGAAAGAGCCATTGCCAAAATTGTTTAGTTGTTTGTGAGGTCCCCTACGGCCTGGAGTGAAGCTGTTTTACTTTTGTTATATATTAATAAGGCAGTATATATGACTGGAGTCTTGTCTGTAGATGTTTTGTTGAATGTGATCCAGCTTCCACTTCAAAATTTTCAAAAGATAACCTGTGATATCTTTTTATAGCTGATCATAGCTATTGAACCCTTGAGAAGATAAATGTCTGTTGCTTACTTAGCTTATAAGAGAATGTTTAGATGGCGGAGTTGACCCGTTGTAGCACTTTGTGAGTAGTGTGCAAGCCAACTGCATAGTAGATGGCATAAACGGTAAGGACAAAGTACAAAGCTGAAGATGATGGCGCACGAAATGACAATGTCAATATGCTTAGTCCTCTCATGGAAGACAGAGTTATGAGCAATCTAGATGGCACTTTTAACACTAATGATCATGATTCAGCTCTCTTTCTTCGCTCTACCTCTGCTGGTCGGATTATTCTTCTCTTGTATGTTGATGACATGATCATCACTGGTGATGATCTTGATGGCATTTATGCTCTCAAAGATCACCACGGTCATCATTTTGAGATGAAGGATCTTGGTCCTCTTCGGTATTCTTAGGAATTGAGGTGGCTTCTTCTCCTAAAGGCTATCTTCTCTCTCAGTCCAAATATGCATTAGAGGTCATTCAGTGTGCTATGTTGACTGATACTCACACTATTGACACTCCACTTGAGCTTAATGTGCATTATACTTTGACTAATGGGGTTCCTATGTCTGATCCTACTTTGTATCATGTTCTTGTTGGTAGTGTTGTTTATCTTACTGTTACTCGTCTTTGTATTACCTATGCTGTGCATATTGTTAGTTAGTTTGTTACCTCTCTTACTACGGTTCATTGGGCTGCGGTTCTTCATATTTTGCGGTATCTTCGTGGGTCTTTGCATCAGAGTTTGTTTTTCTCATCTACCTCGTCATGGGATCTTCGTGCCTATTCTAATGCTGATTGGGCTGATGATGCTATGGATCGTAAGTCCACTACTGGTGTTTGTGTGTTTTTGAGTACTTCCCTCATCTCTTGGAAGAGTAAGAACCAAACAGTTGTTTCTCGTTCTTCTGCTGAGACTGAGTATCGTGCTATGGCTACTACTACTACTGAAATTGTTTTGTTGCGATGGTTACTTGCTGATTTTGGCATTTCACTTTCTGCTCCTACTCCTATGTATTGTGACAATAAAAGTGCCATCCAGATTGTTTATAACTTTGTCTTGCATAAGAGGACTAAACATATTAAGATTGATTGTCATTTTGTGCGCCATCATCTTCAGCTTCGTACTTTGTCCTTACTGTTTGTGCTATCTACTATGCAGTTGGCTGACTTTTTCATGAAGTCTCATACGACTTTGCGCTTTCGTTTTCTGCTTGACAAACTCTCGATGCTTCCTCCCGTCACATCACGAGTTTGAAGGGGGGGAAGGGGGTGTTAAGCATATATATATTTGATATTATTATTTATTATTAAGGGTAGTTTAGTCTTTGGCACTTTTAGGATTTGCTTAGCTTAGATATATGTATCTCCTTTGTATCTTTTATTTTTTAATGCTAGTGTTCATTGAAGTTTTCGAGTTTAACATCAGATGGCATGGAGGAATCACCAGTAACGTAGGTCCAAACATTTTTACCAAGAAGAAAATTCTTCATAACATATGCCCAGTAGTTGTAATTATCACCTACCAACTTAACACCAATAGCTTGGAGAGAATTGGAGGTACCACCAGTCTTGATGAAGAAAGACACAAAAGAAAACTCACCAGCCAAAGAAATAGAACCAGCAACAGACCAGAGATTACCAGACAGGGCAGAGAAGGCGACGAAGCCAAGACAAAGAGTAGACAAAGCACCACAGCAGCCAAACGAACAGTGTGAAGCCCTCAAAAGAGACAAAAACAGTAGACAAAGCACTAGAACCAGCAACAAAGCCTCAAATGAAGCAGCAGAGGCTATTTCGGCAACCAGAGGCTGTTTCGAAGACACCCAGAGGCAATCCAGCAATTGTGGGCACTGTGGCAGTCGTGGGTGCGAAGCAAATAGAACCACGAACCAATTGAAGAAGAGAAAAGTCAATGGGTAACCCAACAATGGAGTAACGAAGAAGGAAGAGAGATACGAAGTCGTAAACAAGTTCGCTGAAGGATTTCAGCGGCCTGAGACCAATCCAACGAGCGCCAGGAGCAAAACGACAATCGTTAGGCATGAACAATCAATAGTTAAGGTTGAAGCTTAACTCCTTGCTCTGATACCATGATAAACAAGTTTAGAAGAAACTAACGATTGTTTATTGAGCATTGAAAAATAAAGGATACAAAGGAGATATATATGTGTCTAAGCTAAGCGAACCCTAAAAGTATCAAAGACTAAACTACCCTTAATAATAAATAATAATATCAAATACATATATGCTTAACAGCTAGAAGGGGTTCTCTGCTGGAGAAAACACTGAAGACTGCGGTATCATGTGACACAACCAGTAAAATTATCACTGTTGTCTTACCACTAGCTGCTACCTTGAGTGATATTTTCTGCCCATCACTGAAAGGAGGGTGAGTTTCTGTTTGGAACAAGTGTGTCATATATGTGGAAAAGCCCTTTCTAGGCTGGACCAAACCTACTATTTGACTTTTTATATACAAGTCAAACAAATTAATCCATCATGAATAAAACAACATTATATTCCATAATGCTCAAAAAGTTAAACTTTTGAAATAATTAAATACAAGCCAAGGGGTAATAAAGTCTGGTAGAAGTGGTTTTATCATCTCTTTTAGAGTTGGTGAATATGAACTGAGAAGTTACAGCCTTTTTGCTATGTTTGTGAGATGATGGTTGTTTTGTTTCTTTCTTCTTTCTTCTTTCTATTCGCTTCTCTTCTTCTTGTGTAAAGTTCGATATGTTTGTGAGATGATGCTCAAACAATTAAACTTCTGAAATAATTAAATACAAGCCAAGTTGAAATCTCTTCTTCAATAAAGTAAGAAAAAAATAACTTTTCAAGCAATTGAATACTTGGCTTTGTCGTTTTAACTTCAAAGATATAATTTTTTTAGTTTCTTGTCAGACCAGTGGTCAACATACACTATTGTCCAAATTTATCTAAAAATATCATATATTTTTAATTTTTGTTTTGAAGTTTGGTGACCCACTATATGACATGCGGCACCACCCTCTAAGAACCCGTCTTGGTCTTCTTGATTCACCACGGCAAGCTTACTTGGAACTTCCAGTCATTGGTCAAAGCTCCAATTCAAGACCTGTAGTTACAAAATAGTTTTATTTATTTATTTATTATTATTTAATGATCATGCTTCTCTCTCTCTCTCTCTCTCTCTCTCTCTCTCTCTCTCTCTTTGAATAAATAAAATGATGAGCATTCTTATTGCCTTCCTTAAATTATGTGATTTTAGTTTTACAATTTGCTTACTTTCTATGTTACACGGACTCTTTGGAATTTCGGAGGTACCTGTGTCGATACAACACGACACGGGTACGAGATATGGCCCTTTACAAACGGATATGACAGAAGTAGCAAAAGAGGAGAGAGCGAGGAGAGAACTTGGTCGCCGACTTCAATCTCATCTTCTTCGCTCGATGCTCGATCTCGATCTCGTCTTCTTCGCTCGATGCTCCCCTCTCGATCTCGATCTGTCTTCTCTCTCGTATCTCGATCTCTTTCTTCTCCTTCTCCTCTCTCTCTCTCTCTCTCTAACAGATAACAAAACAAATCATATATAATATAAATTATTTATATTATAAAATAATTATATACATAAATTGTTATTTTATTTATATATATATATATATATATATAAAATAAATCATCTATTTAAAAAAAAATATAATAAAATCATGTCATATATTTTTAATTTTTGTTTTGAAGTTTGGTGACCCACTATATGACATGCGGCACCACCCTCTAAGGACCCGTCTTGGTCTTCTTGATTCACCACTGCAAGCTTACTTGGAACTTCCAGTCATTGGTCAAAGCTCCAATTCAAGACCTGTAGTTACAAAATAGTTTTATTTATTTATTATTATTTAATGATCATACTTCTCTCTCTCTCTCTCAATAAATAAAATGATGAGCATTCTTATTGCCTTCCTTAAATTATGTGATTTTAGTTTTACAATATGCTTACTTTCTATGTTACACGGACTCTTTGGAATTTCGGAGCTACCTGTGTCGATACAACATGACACGGGTACGAGATATGGCCCTTTACAAACGGATATGACAGAAGAAGCAAAAGAGGAGAGAGCGAGGAGAGAACTTGGTCGCCGACTTCAATCTCATCTTCTTCGCTCGATGCTCGATCTCGATCTCGATCTCGTCTTCTTCGCTCGATGCTCCTCTCTCGATCTCGATCTGTCTTCTCTCTCGTATCTCGATCTCTTTCTTCTCCTTCTCCTCTCTCTCTCTCTCTCTCTAACAGATAACAAAACAAATCATATATAATATAAATTATTTATATTATAAAATAATTATATACATAAATTGTTATTTTATTTATATATATATATATATATATATAAAATAAATCATCTATTTAAAAAAAAATATAATAAAATCATGTATAATATAAATTATTTTATGTCCTAAATAATAATTATATTTTATATTTTAGTGGGATGTCAATTAAAAAATACATAATATTTTAGTGGGATGCCTAAAAAATAATATTTTTTGACACATCCATGTTTAGCCATATCCACGTACCTGCATCTAATTTTTGGGTACTTTTTAAACATACCCGTGTATCCCTCATTTAAAGGTTTGTCGAGTCCGACCTCTAGATGCATATCCGCACCTGACACTCGTACCTGAGTCTATGTAGAGTAGATTACTTTCACGTTCATGCATTTTGCTTGAGTGAAGACCCATGTGATTGAAATTGTTATATTTTCTCTCAATTAAGGGAAGTGATTATATGAAATTCTGTATTTTTCATTCCATGATATTGCATATAGTTGACAAATATGTGGCTAGTATCTAGTGCTTGAGCACATTGTTATATGCTTCATGTGTGCATTGTATGTTGAGGTCTAAAAATACAGAGGCATATGTTTATGTAGATTTTTTGATCTATTGAAACTCTGGTCATCCTTTGTTGGTTAATTGTTTAACCTTTTTCTCTTGTAAAATGTCCAGGTATTAGAGGCAGCTAGTAACTTAGAGGAAGTTACTGAAACTGTTGACTACTACGTGCAGGGAAGTACAATTGCTGCAGGAAATCTCTTTGGAAGGTGAATTTGCATATAATTTTAGTTATGTGCAATTACTATTTTAGCAAAATTTTTTATATTAAAATCTTGTTATTTTTCTCCTTCATATAGGCATTTGGATATTTTTAGATGTTTTCTCTTCCAATTCTTTTTTCCTGTAATACTAGTTTTAGTTTGGTTGTAATCTACGATTTTTTTAATGCTCTTTGTTCTGCTGCATAGACTGCAAGATGCCTTTAATCATCTTCTTCCACCCATCTATTCAACTTTTGGGATTGCAGGATTGTTTCTTGCTAGTTCTGCACCTCTATTATACTCTGATCTGCATATTTGCTTTGCTTTGCTTTGTTGTATGTGATATGTTACGCTTGCCTATTTCTACCATATAACCGGGAACTCTGGATGTTTACCTTGAATTTCTGGGAACTTTGTTGCATTGATGTCTAAAGACTATTGCATAGCCTCGATATCTCTATCCTGTGCATAGCATTGATATCTCTATCTGGCAGATTGGACAATAATTAGGCTATTTCTTTTGTTTTGAAAACTCAATCTTCTAGTTTGTATAATTTTTCTGCAACAATCATAGTAAATATTGTTGTATTGTTTTTCATAGTCTCTATTAGCCTTTGTGTACTATAATCTCCTTCAATGAATATTGCCTTTTTACCTATTTGGTTGTACCCATACTAAATCTTCTTTTGGTTTTCTATATCTATGTTGTGTTTGCCCAAGATTTAAAAATCAATCTCATTTGCCAATTTTTGTGAACTCAAGTTTACCATGGAAGTGTTTCATTTAAATTCCACTTTCTATAGGCGTCGAGTAGTCCAAGTCTTTGCTCGTGGTGCTCGAATTCTTGATGGTGCTTTTATGACTCAAGATTTAAGCTTTCGAGCTCCAAACTCTGAATCTGGCTCAGGTTCTGAAAGCTTGACAGTATCAACTGTTTCTATAGCTGATCCATATGTGTTACTGACAATGACTGATGGAAGTGTTCAGCTTCTTGTTGGAGGTACATCTAGCCATCCTAACTTCTTACTTCTTTTCTTATTTAGACATCAACAAATTTTATGGGCTTGGATATGGCATTGGATGAATTTGTTGGGTAGGACATTTCTACTATGGTTTCCTATTTCATTGATAAGAAAAAGAAAACCCGCCAATGTAGATCCCCTTGACATGATTATAGTGGAGGTTGACGCTGCTGGGGGTTGAATTTTGATAAAGAAGACCAGAAATCTTGGAGACATGACATGCTCTATACTAAGGGTTGTTTTGGGATTTGGTTATTTTTGTTGCCTTTTTAATTTTTTTATTAAAAGACGTGCAGAAAAATAGAGAGAAGGGTTGACTTTTTTGTAGTGACTTTTTGGCTATTTTAGTAGGTTGCCAAAACAAGCCTAAGCACAGTCAATGTGTAGAAGTTGAGCTATGCACAACAGACAAAAAGGACGACATATCTAAACATGCAAATGGTTGCCAGGGATTCTTTTTCTTTATGGGGGCTTCTAGATGACCAAACATTGCTTTTAATTGTGAAACGACAAAAATGCTGTCCAAATAAACTAAAAATGCCCTAGAAAGTTTTTATTTGTCATAAAGGTGGTAGGATAGTAGTATTAACAGAAAACAATTGCTACTCTCTCCAAATGCTAGTTTCACTGTGATAATGTCTCAAGATACTCAAAGCTTCAAAGTTGGTGCACTAGTTTAGCTGGGCTAGAGAAAAGGTGCCCTCAATGTAATGCAAAAACTATGGCTTTGAGGTAGAGATCATTTCAAGAAGTTTTGGTTATGAAAAATTGTTTTAGATAGTTTCATGCCATCAGTTACTTATTGGATTCATACCTTTGTTTAATTTATTCATCATTGTTGTATTTGGAATCAGGAATTTAATTTATTGTAGCAAGTTGGGGTTTTAGTGTCATGACATATTTGCAGTTATTATTCATGTGATGTTATTGTTCATGTAACTGTGGTGTCTTAAAGTTTACCTTACTAACATGCTATTGTAGCAGGTTATGTTTGTCTTTAAGCTTTTTTCTTAATATTTTATTTGAAGTGTTGGGATTTGTTTGAAAGAATCGTTTCTTTTTGGGGGTTTAAAGTCTAATAGAAGTGGTTTTATGGTCTCTTTTAGAGTTGGTGAATACTGAGCTGAGAAGTTACAGCCTTTTTGCTATGTTTGTGAGACGATGGTTATTTTGTTTCTTTCTTCTTTCTATTCGCCTCTCTTCTTCTTGTTCTTCTTTCTATTCTTTGAGTTTCTTTACAACAAATGATGCTTTTTGGCACTCTTTAAACTAACATGACTATAATTTTTGTGGTCATGAAGAGCCATTGCATAGGCTTAAGAACAGTTCTGTTGTCATTTTTGGTTTTTGTTGACACCTTGTTGTGTAACTTATTCTTCCTCTTTGTTGGCCTTTTATTTTCTTTTATCAGATTTTCTCAGCTGTATTTGGGTTGCATCTGTCTGATGCCCCTTTTATAAAAAATCTTTCTTACTAATAAGAAAACACTCCATTTAACTGTCTGCAACTGTCCATGATCTGTTTTGTTGCAAACTACCCTATTCTTCTTCAAAGTGCTGAAACTTTTAAAGATCCTGCACATGTCCTTCAACGAAATAGCTTTGCTGAAAGAAGCTATGTTAGACAATTCTTTTGTGAATCAAGAAGAACCAACTTCTAATCAAAAGTATAACATAAAGATTTCCAGAGCAATAAGATAAACGAACTTAAATAATGAATGCAAGATGCTAGTGAACACTGTTTGTAATAAAGATTGCGCAACTTACTGTTTTAATTTGGTAGCAAGAGCATCCAAATTCTTCACCTCCCATCTTGCACAACTCTCTTTCACGTGATGTGGATGATGGGTTTTGGGGGACGTTGGAGAAGATGGTTGAGTTTTTGTATTGTGATGGAGGCTCGAAGTTATGGTGGCAAGTGTGGCTAGTGTAGGGTTGATTCATGGATTTGAAGTAGGGGAAAGGGCTGGATTGCAGATTTGTGTCTCACCTTTGTTTGCCGATGATACCATTCTTTTTTTTGACGAAGCTAATGTGGAAGAATTGAGGTGGTTAAGTTGTAACTTCTTGTGCTTTGAGGCTGTTTCTACTCTTCACATGAATTTGGCTAGTGATGCTCTTATCAAGGTTGGAGATGTGGAGAATTTGGATGTTTTGCAAGGATTTTTGGTTGTCATGTGGATTCACTGCGTGCATCTTACTTGGGATTGGGTGATGGAGAGATTTGGGAGGAAGCTTGTTGATTGGAGAAGAGAATATCTTTCTAGTTTTCACAGGTGGTAGATTGACCTTGATTAAAAGCACCCTTTCTAGCTTGTGACCTTATTCGATGTCTATTTTTACTATTCCTTGTTCGGTAGCTCAGATGCTTTTGTTAGAATAAGAATTATATTAGAATAGGAATTAAGGTAGAATAGGAAATAAGTGATTGTGTGATTGTGTTTCCTTATATTATACTCAGTATTATCAATATAAAAGGGAATGAAGTCTAACTCATTCCCTAACCTTTTGTCTTCTCTAAACTTTCATGGTATCAGAGCCACAATCCTAGCCAATCCCTCCTTACCTCTATCGACAGTCTTGTCTTGAGTCCAGGAGACCTGACAGCCACTGTAGACCCTTAGATAGCCACCGTCGACCCTCCGACAACCCAAACCCCACCTCCGCCAGCCTTGCCCAGACCATCGACAATTCACATGGGCTCCTCGACAGCCTATTAGGCTTAGTCGGCAGCTTCTCTGAGTCCCTATGGGCCTGTCAGCAGTCCCTCTGATTGTCTAGGGGTCTGTCGGCAGTCCCCCTGGCCTTCGCGGTCCTTGTCGACAGCGTCTCTGGTATATGTGACTCCGGTCGACATCTTTGAGTCTTCGTCTGCCTTCTTCTTCATTTGTCTTGGTTGGATCCTCTGTCTGGGTTGTGTAGGTCAACACCCGTTCCTTTTCTTTTAATTCTTTTTTAAAACACAACCAGAAGAAAGAGAAAAAAATAAAAATATGGCTTCTTAAATTCTTTATGTTTTTCTAGTTCTTCTTGTCTTGATTCCTCCACTCTTATCTTTCGGGTTTGTGATTGGCTTTGTGATTGAGGACTAGTGAGTAAAGTCTCCATGGCAGATTTGACTAGTGAGTCTATTACATCTCAGTCATCTCAGGGCGTGAGTTCGGTTATCCCTTTTCCTATGATTGATAACCTCAACCCTGGCCTTAAAATGACTACCTCTCTATTTAATGGTCAGAATTTCCTCGCGTGGTCGCAGAGTCTGACTATTTTCCTGAAGAGTAGAGGGAAGATGTGATATGTGGATGGGAGGGTTCAAGCACCAGTATTACTGACCTTCATTATGACCAGTGGGACATCACCAATTCTCTAATTATGGGTTGGTTGATCCATTCTATGGTTTCGAAGATTGGAGAGAGCTACTTGTCTATGGACACTGCCTAAGATATTTGGGAGGCCGTAGCTACTACTTATTCCAGGAAAGGGAACTTCTCACAAGCTTTCGAGTTACATCGTTCCATTGAGAGGTCGGTGCAAGGTGAGATGATTATCCTCTAGTATTTTACCTTCCTTAGCAATGGATGGAAGCGCTTTGATCACCTTTAGGATTACAAGCCTGTGTGTCCCACCGATTCTGCTGGTTACCGGACATTTGTAGCGTAAGAGTCGGCCTTCAAGTTCTTGAAAGGCCTGAATGTAGAGTATGATCCTGTTCGGAGCCGAATCCTTGGCATGGATGTGCTTTCCTCTCTCCAGGAAGCCTTTGCTTTTGTGCAAAATGAGGAAAGTCACCGCTCTGCTATGCTTTCTCCTGTCACTAGTGATCGCTCTGCCTTGGTTTCTGTCCCTCCTTGAGATGGTGTGCCTCGTGGTTCTCGTCCCTCCTCTGAGAAGGATCAGCTTTACTGTGACTATTGCCGTAGATCTCGCCACACCAGAGAAACTTGTTGGAAGCTGCATGGCACCCCTTCTGGTGGCTGAGGAGATTGTTTTGGTACTCGCGGGGGTCGGTTTGGTCAGTCGAGAGGCCGAGGGGCCAATACACAAGCGCATCTTTCTGACACTGTTGAGCCACCACCTTTATCCCCAGTTGTCTGTTGATGTTTTGGGGTTATTTGCCTCGGATTTGAAGATTGCTCTTCGCCACTTGCTAGACCTTCGAGCCTTTCCTTCTGCTACAGGTGCACCCTTTTCTTCCTTTGCCAATTCAAGTAACTTGGCTTCATTTCCATGTGCATTGCTATCTCATACATCTGTACCATAGATTATTGATTCTGGTGCTTCCGACCATATGTCTGGCTCTTCTAATTTATTTTCAGAGTATAACACTACCTCAGGCCAGGAAAAGGTGCGTATTGCTGATGGTACCATTTCGTCTGTGTGAGGGAAAGGTTTAATTCATACCACCTCTTCCCTTCCTTTGTCTTTTGTCCTCCGTGTTCCTAATTTCAATGTTAATCTTTTATCTTTGAGTCATATTACTCGTGACTTAAATTGTAGCTTGACGTTTTTTTCCTGATCATTGTCTTTTTCAGGACCTTATCACGGGGAAGAGGATTGGCAGTGGTAGAGAGGAACATGAGCTCTACATTTTGGATCAGATAGATAAGCTGACTCATTCATCTATTCAGTTACTATCCATCAAGGAAGACATTTGGCTGTGGCACCGTCGCTTAGGATACCCCTACTTTTTATTACTTAAGCATTTATTTCCTTTTGTTTTTGAGAAAATAATGTGTCCAATTTTCAATGTGAGTCTTGTCAACTTGGAAAACAACACATGACCTATTTTGCTCCTTCAATTAATAAAAGTTCAGTTCTTTTTTTTTTGATTCATTCTAATGTATGGGGTCCCTCTCGTTTGTGTCTTTAACTGATCATAGATGGTTTGTTACCTTCATAGATGATTGTTCCAGGGCTACTTGGGTCTATTTGATGAAAGATAAAAGTGAGGTGTGTTCTCTGTTTCAAAACTTCTATAAAATGATTTGTACTCAGTTTGGGGCGGTAGTACAAATTCTACGTTTTGATAATAGGGGAGAATATATTGACTCTGGTCTTACCACTTATTTCGCCACTCATGGCATTATTCACCAGACTTCCTGCACTAATACCCCTCAGTAAAATAGTGTTGCCGAACGCAAAAATCACCATCTCCTTGATGCCGCCCGTTGTCTATCCTTTGAGATGCAGGTTCCTCGATCCTATTGAGGGGAAGTGGTTCTCACTGCCGCTTATTTGATTAATCGTCTTCCTACTCAAGTCTGTAAAAACAAACACCTCTTCAAGTTTTGTTTGGGTCTCCCTCTTCCGGATTCTTCATTTCTCCTAAGACTTTTGGCTGTGTTTGCTTTGTCCATAATCATTCACCCATTCGTGGTAAATTAGATCCTAGGTCCTTTAAGTGTGTTTTTTTGGATTATTCTGCCACCAAAAAGGGTTAGAAGTGTTATCATCCTCCCACTCGCAAATGGTTTGCCTCCATGGATGTCACTTTCTTTGAGTCTCAGCCTTACTTTCCGACCTCCCCGATCTCACAATCATCTCTTCAGGGGGAGCCTTGGTGTGAAGAGATTCTTGTTCCACTTCTGCCCGTGGTTGAACAGATAGAGGATGATGAGCCAACAGTTGTTGAGGAAAAGGAAGCAGACAAAGTTTATATCCGGGACAAGGACAGACAGCGAGTCACCTGAATGCAAGAGACTACTTTCCTTCCTTTACTGCTAACAACTTCTTCTCCGGATGAGTGTCCAGAGTCAACCCCTTCTCCTGAGAGTCCAGGTAATTCTGATTCTAGTGCTCCTATTCCTGATTTTTCAGATCTTGATGTTCTCATTGCTAATAGGAAGGAGGTTAGGTCATGTACTTAGCATCCTATTACTAATCATGTCATTTATTCTAATCTGTCTTGGTCATATAAAGTTTTTCTGTTTAAAGTGTTTTCTGTGAGTCTACTTATCAATTTTCAGGATGCTTTCTTTATTCCTGAATGGAAGCATGCGATGATGGAAGAGATGAGAACTCTCAGCAAGAGTGGCACTTTGGGAGTTAGTGGAGTTACCTAGAGGAAAAAATCCTGTTGGGTGTAACTGGGTGTACACGGTAAAATACAAAGCAGATGGGTCCATAGAACAGTACAAAGCAAGACTGGTTGCTAAGGGCTTCACTCAGACTTATGGGTGGATTACCAGGAGACATTCGCACCGGTTGCTAAGATGAATTCTATGAGAATCTTACTCTCTCTTGCTGCAAATTTGGATTGGCCACATCATCAGTTTGATGTGAAGAATGCCTTCCTTCATGGAGATCTAGCAGAAGAGGTCTATATGGATATTTCTCCTGGTTTTGCGGATGCTAAGTCCAACGGTAAAGTATGTAGGCTCCAAAAGTCATTTTATGGGCTAAAGCAGTCTCCTAGGACTTGGTTCGAAAGGTTTGCTCAACCTATGCTGAAATATGGGTTCAAGCAAAGTTAAGCTGATCACACCTTGTTTGTGAAATACCCCTCACATGGTTAGATCACAACTCTTATTGTCTATGTTGATAATATTGTTCTGACAGGAGCTGATGTTGAGGAGATTCCCCGTTTGAAAGAATACTTAGCCAAGGAGTTTGAAATCAAAGACTTAGGCTATTTGAAGTATTTTTTGGGCATTGAAATAGCTCGGTACAAGGATGGCATCTTCATATGCCAGAGGAAGTATGTACTTGACTTGCTAAAGGAAACTGAAATGCTTGGAGGTAGACCATGTGATACACCTCTAGAACCGGGCCAGAAACTGAGTGAGGATCAAGAGGGAGATCTTGTGGATAGGGGGAGATACCAAAGACTAGTGGGGAAACTCATATACTTATCCCACTCACGTCCAAACATTGGCATTGCCGTGAGTGTGGTGAGTCAGTTTATGCATGCTTCGAGAACTTCTCACTTAGAGGCCGTTATGAGAATTCTGAGATACTTGAAATCTTCTCCTAGAAAGGGTCTCTATTTCTCAAAACATGGCTCTCTCAATGTGGAGGCATTTACTGATGCAGATTGGGCTGGATCCGTTACTGACATACGATTAACTTCTGGATATTGCATAATTGTTGGTGGCAACCTAGTCACATGGCGAAGTAAGAAACAGAATGTGGTTACTAGATCTAGTGCTGAGACAGAATTGAAGGCTATGACTCAGGGTGTCTGTGAGTTGCTATGGATTAAACTATTGTTGGAAGACTTGGGAATCGATTTGAATGACTCCATGTGACTATACTGTGACAATAAGGCCGCAATCAACATAGCTCATAATCTCGTTCAACATGATAGAACTAAGCATATGGAGATTGATAGGCACTTCATCAAGGAAAAACTCACTAGTGGTATCATATGTATTCCATTTTGGAAGATTGGAGACCAACTAGCCGATGTTCTCACCAAGGGATTAGGGAACAAACCATTTCATGGCATTCTCAACAAGCTGGGCATGAGAGATATCTTCGCACCAGCTTGAGGGGGAGTGTTAAGGGGGAGTGTTAGAATAGGAATTAAGGTAGAATAGGAAATAAGTGATTGTGTGATTGTGTTTCCTTATATTATACTCAGTATTATCAATATAAAAGGGAATGGAGTCTAACTCATTCCCTAACCTTTTGTCTTCTCTAAACTTTCAGCTTTACAAGTCTCAAAATGCTCATAGTTTTCATCAAGATTTCCTTTTGAAGGAGGTTGTTTATTTAAGTACTCTTTACAACTGTACCCTTGTCAAATTAATGTACATACCACCATCCTGGGTACTTGGATTCTCTAGTCATCATCACCACTTTGAAGGTGGAAATCAAAGGATACCGGAGCCATTTTCATATAGCTATGGATGTCATGCTTATTCACCAATGCCATTATGTCCTGGGTGTCAGCATTTGTAGTATAGTTGTTAAATTATGCGTGATATCTATTACCTACCATTTGTGAACCCACATTAAGGTCTCACCTTCGTTGTTAATAGTTGCAGTTTTTTTCCTCTTCCATTTGTTCTGCTTAACTCTTATAAGTTTTATCTACTTTTTCATTCACACTTCTTAAGTGTAGTTCTTTGACCCTTAAATGTTATCTACAGATCCTTCTACTTGCACTGTTTCTACCAGCATTCCAGCAATATTTGAAAGCTCAAAGAAATTGATAACTGCCTGTACACTTTATCATGATAAAGGATCTGAGCCCTGGCTACGGAAGACAAGTACTGATGCATGGCTTTCTACAGGCATAGGGGAGACAATTGATGGGTCTGATGGTACATCTCAAGATCAGGGTGATATCTACTGCGTTGTTTGTTATGAAAGTGGTACTCTTGAAATCTTTGACGTGCCTAATTTTAATTGTGTTTTCTCCGTGGATAAATTTGTGTCTGGAAAGGCCTATCTTGTAGATACCTTTATCCAGGAGCCATCTGGTGATCCTCAAGAAACTATGAATAAAAATTCTGAAGAATTACCTGGCCAAGTTAGGAAAGAGAATACCCAAAACTTGAAGGTTGTTGAGTTGGCTATGCAAAGATGGTCGGGACAGCATAGTCGCCCTTTTCTTTTTGGAATATTGACTGATGGAACTATTCTTTGCTACCATGCTTACCTATTTGAAGCTTTAGAAAATGCTTCCAAAAATGAGGAAGTTGTTTCTGTTCAGAATTCTGTTGACCTTAGCAGTATAAGCACCTCTAGGCTTAGAAATCTGAGATTTGTTCGTGTGCCCTTGGACACATATGCAAGGGAGGAGACATCACCTGGAACCCCATGCCAACGAATAACCATCTTCAAGAATGTTGGTGGTTACCAAGGATTATTCCTTTCTGGGTCAAGGCCAGCTTGGTTCATGATATTCAGGGAACGGCTTCGAGTTCATCCACAGGTCAGTTTTTGGTTGGTTTAAACTTGTTAAATTTGATTTTCCTGGAACTCACCTTTTTCTTATTTGCATAAAATTAAAAAAAACAGAAGAGAGATTTAGAGGGAGTGAGAAGGATACCAAACTGATGTAGGACCACTTAAAAGCATTGGCAGTACTATTGACTAAAAAATCATATCATATGGAGGGAAGAGGCTATGACCGACTTCTTGATTTGCTGTTTAAGAGGATGAATGTTTTTTCTAGGCTTTCTGGAAGAAAGGGTGCAGAGTAGACTTAACGTTGAGTGTGATTGAATGAGTTACACTGTATTGTTGTTTTAATACAAAAGGTCATATCCTATGCGAAAGGCTCCCTCTTACAGTAGAGTCTGGGAGAGGTAGTAAATAGTTAATTTTTATGACTTGAATCCACACTGTAGTGCTGCAGGCAGATATCACTGTCATCGTGCCAGGCTAGGAACACTATTTTGTTCCTTTTATATCTGGACATTAATTAATCTAGTGTTAGGGTAAGGACTCACATGGTAGGAAAAGGGATACAGTTATGGATGTAGGGATTTTTGTCACGACAGAAGGAAATTAAGGTTTAATTCTTTTTAAAACAGTAAATTTCTGTCTTGTATTTAAACTAATCTACGACCCATTCTACCTAAAGTGCCTTATGTTTTCACTGGCCCGGGCTAGGGCTGCATTTCATTAGCTTTTAAGAGTTTCGATGGTTGTGAGAAGATCTTCTTAATTGATCTTCATTAAACTAAAAAAAGTATAGGGGCACATATAGCTTGCTGGTTTTTTCTTCCTTTCTTTTTTTTTTTTCATTGATTAGTATTTCAAAATTTGACTAGTAAGAGTGATGTAGACCTAATTAAATCCATGGGTAAAGGTCCCCAACAACGTAACTGATCCTGTCTACGTAAAAACAAATAAAAACCATAGGGCCCACAAGGATCAGAAGTTGCTCTTTTCTTGTATAATGAAAAAGTGAATTATATATATCTTTTTGGGACCAAAAAAATTGTATTATAGGCTAGTTGGCACCTAAAAAGTAAGGCCTAATTTGTTAAAGTTTGTGTGGTAATTTGGTTTGTGTCACATGGACCAAGGTTACCTCCATGATGTCATCGGAAAACATGTTCTCAAGTAACTCAAAGCATGTCAGTGCTTGCATGGTTGCATGTTGGCTTTTTTTAAGATTTCCAATCTGGTTGGGCACCTTCTGGGCAAGTTTAATTCCCATAACATCTTTGGATGTGAAGTGATCTTTATTTGTGCACATGTGAATGTGTTATTTTCTTAAAATAAACATGACAAGAAAATAAATATTGAAAATAATTATTTTGAAGAAAGAAATTGATTGTAATGGATGCAATGAGATCTTCTTTCCTCATTCTTTTTTAACCAAATATTTTCTCTCATTTTTGTCTACAAGCTACTCCTATGTCACAAAATAACTGATGTGAAGTCACTACATGGCACATTGTGTTAGGGATTTCTGTGTTGGGTTTTATGTGAAATTTCATCCTCTACAGTGGTTGTTAGAGAATAATTCAGAAATGTTATTAAAACTAGGGAAATTGCAATATGAGATATATTGTTAACAATGTTGTCAGGACTCATGCAAGTAGAATTAATATTTTGGGCTTTGTACTTGTGTATCCTGTTTCTTTCATAATTCTTTATGCAAATGAACAAGCCCCAATGCTAACTACTTGGGGTTGGCTGTACAGATCCATTGTCTATGGTTTGCTCCATGGAAAGTGTTAAAACCTATCACCTACTTCACCCACTTAAACCTACTCCACTAAACCTAACCCACTACACCACTACCACCTCACCTACTCCACTAAACCTAACCCACTACACCACTACCACCTCCACTTCACCTACTCCTTACCTACTACACACTCACCCTCTTCTATATATAGGAATCATGAATCATTGTAATGAATAGAACAATCAATACATCAATCAAATTCAAAACAGTAGTTTCAAATGTTTTTAAGGAACTTCGATTTGCTGGATTAATTTTGTAATAATGATGTATAAACTAAAGTGTGCTTCGATTTGCTGGATTAATTTTGTAATAATGATGTATAAACTAAAGTGTGTATCTTTATTTGCAGCTATGTGATGGACCTATTGTTGCCTTCACTGTCCTTCACAATTTGAATTGTAATCATGGTCTTATACATGTTACCTCACAGGTAGGAAAGTGCACTGCCCATTGATTTTTCCTGTTGGTTTCTACATCATTTAAATTTTACCCTTGCCTTTGTTTCAGGGTATTCTGAAAATTTGCCGGCTGCCATCTGTATCATGCTATGATAACTATTGGCCTGTACAAAAAGTCAGTGTTCCTTCATTTTATAATCTGTTCATAACAAGGTATTTTCATATAGATTGCCATTTGGCATTGATCCACTTACTTGAAAGTTACGTTTTCTATACTCAGATTCCATTGAAGGGCACTCCACATCAAGTCACTTACTTTGCTGAGAAGAATCTATACCCACTTATAGTTTCTGTTCCAGTAAGTGGATTTTCTTGCTTTTAGTCTGTCTTTTGTCCACAGATAATCTCCTTAAAGTATTTAGCCTAAGCTAATAAGTATGCACATGGGCACATGCATGCCCATAATATCAACAGAGACTTGCATTAACTTCATGTGGTTAGTAGCACTAATTTAAATTTATAAATCAAGCTGCTCTAGCATCACATATTTTCATCAAATAACATAAATGCTACTAGTATCTGCTTGTTCCTTGTGTTATGTGTCCTTCTTTCCTAGTTTTTTTTCTTTCTATAATTTAATCACAGCATGACCTAATGAAGTATTTCATCTAATATATCAAGGATTCATAGGTGATAGGATATTGATTTCTTACAACGATTTGGCATTTTGTCAGAAATTCAGTTCATAATGAACTGATGACCCCCCTAGGGCACAGAGAGTGCCTTCACCATGACATGTATTTGGTCTCTAGCAGTTTTGAATTTTGAAGCTGGTGCTGTATTCTTCAGATAGCAGTTGTAATTCTTGATTTCTTTAAGAATGTTATTCTTTTGAATCCATCCTAAAACAAATTTTGTTGCTTAAAAGTATTGTAACGTATGCTTTTATGAGCTTTGATTCTTTAGGAGTATTAAGTTTTTCCTTGAGCGTGTTATGGAGCTTCATTGTTAATCTATTATTTTCTGCAGGTCCTTAAGCCATTGAATCAAGTTCTGTCATCTATGATTGATCAAGAATTAGGTCATCAGATTGAGCACGATAACTTGAGTTTTGATGGGAGTTACACTGTAGATGAATTTGAGGTTCGGATTTTGGAACCGGAAAAGTCTGGTGGCCCTTGGCAAACTAAGGCTACAATTCCGATGCAAAGTTCTGAAAATGCCCTGACTGCGCGAGTGGTTACACTATTTGTGAGTTCAATTTTTTTGTTCCAGCTGGGATTTTGTCTTATAATTGGCCTTTCATTTCCTCTTGGTGGTTTTGTTGTGTGGGATGGGAACAAAGATGATTTTGCTTATCTTGAATTCTTATTCTGCGTGTTATTACAGAATACAACAACAAAAGAAAATGAAACACTTTTGGCTATTGGAACTGCTTATGTTCAAGGGGAGGATGTCGCTGCAAGAGGGCGTGTGCTCTTGTTTTCTATTGAAAGAAATCCAGATAATTCAGAGACTTTGGTAACCTGTCGAATTATTTTTACCTTTTGTATGCAGTTCAGTTTCACTTGTTTTTGCTACAACAAACTCTACTGCTGTATACGTTTGGTTTCTTTTCCTGTAGTCCTCAAATTGTCAGTAATGCCCTTTTGCTATGTCACCAAATAAATTGTTAACCTTTTCAGGTTTCAGAGGTTTACGCAAAGGAGTTGAAGGGCGCTATATCTGCTCTAGCTTCAATTCAAGGTCATTTGTTGATAGCTTCTGGTCCTAAGATAATCTTACACATGTGGACAGGTTCAGATTTGAATGGTATTGCCTTTTCTGATGCTCCCCCGCTTTATGTTGTGAGCTTAAACATCGTACGTATCACTTCCATTACTTCAATATCTCTTCTTTTAAGTTCCGTTGGTTGTAGTTTTTTGATTTGGCTCTTCATCAATAAGAATGGCATGCTATAGAAATACAAAAATGTGATTATTAGATGCGTGTTAGATTGACCAGTTGTTGTCATTTGCTTATAAAGACAATAAATGTATGGAACAAGATAAATCGGAGGATAAAAGTAAAAAAGAACCCGAAAATTAACACTTTTATGTAAAGGTAGAATGTCCAATACATTTGGCCATCTGATAATGCCTTGAATTTACCTAATCCCGCTATTCATACCACATACATCTGTTCAATTTCTGGCACAGTAGCTAAGTCCAAGTATCGTAGATTGGATGACAGATGACAAAAATATAATTATTCCTGGATTGCTTCACTATTGATTGGCTTTTTCTGTTTGCCATGTCAGTGTAGTTAAGATTGCAAACAATTTATTTTTGTTGTAAACTATGGATCTAGGAAGCATAGATACGAGATATGGATACAATACGATATGGATATGGTGATACGACAGAACTTAAAAAAATAGGATATGGGTACGGTTAGGATACATTTGTAAAAAAAATATATATATTTTAAATTATTAGTAGTGAGTTACACATAAGCTAAAGAAAGTTGAGAAACCACAATGTAATTTATAATGCAAAATACAAACATTTAAGAATTAGGTATTAATGTAAGCTAGTAGCTTGTTAACCTTCTAAATTTTCAATAGGCCTTGCAAATATTTCATTTATGTTTATATTACAATAATAGAACAATTTACAACTTGTCTCTGTGCTTTTTCCTTTAACACCAAGTAAAAAAATGTTGTATTCAAGTTTTCTTGCTTATTTATTTATTGATATTTAATTTTACTATTGTTATATTCCTTTGTTAACCCTTACTTTCTATATAGTTAAAGGAGACAAGCATGAAACAATTGGGATGCATCAATTTGACAAATTCTATTATTTAACCCACTATATTTTTCTTATCAAAGAACAAAACAAAGTATTAGAAAAATATTCTTATATTTATCATTGCAGCTATATTATATTATAATACTATGCAAGAAATGGTACAATTCTAATTTCATAAAACAATTAATACGTGACTTGGAGTATCCGATGCTTCAAAATTAAGTATACGATACTCCAAATTTAATGAAAAATTAATTAAGAAGTATCCGATACCTTTAATAAGTATCCGAGAGTATCCAAGGAGTATCGGTATCCGATATGGATACGATACAGATTCGTCACCCTATTTGAAGTATCCGTGCTTCATGTTAGAATAGGCAACAAGTTAGAGTAGGAAGTATGTGATTGTATTTTCTTCTTATTTATTTCCTTGATTGGTGTAATGGGCTGGCCCATATATTATGCCTTATGGCACTCCTGTAATTACTCAGTATTATTTATATAAAAGGGAATGAAGTCTAACTCATTCTCTAACTTTCTCTTCTCTAAACCAACATGATATCAGAGCCATGCCCTAGCCAACTCCCCTTCTCTGTTACCTATCACTACAGGTGATCTCCTCTCTTTTATAGACCAGACGACAGCCCTAAACAGGTCTCCCAGCCTTGTTTAACCCGAATAGACTCTATGTAGGTCTCCCAGTCCCTTCTCTCCCTTCGACAGCCATCACCTAGGCTTCTCTCTCCCTTGGTAGGCCTTTCCAGCCACTACCGAGGGTTCCCAGGGGGCCGACCAGCCTTCTTGCTGGTCTGGTCAAAGTCGTCTGGCCCTTTAGGGTTGCCTGGGGTGGTACTTGCTCTTTTGTTGCTCTTCGAAGTCGTCTGGTGATGTAATACGAAGTCGTCTCTTATGTAGTGGACTGGTGATGATTATACACAGTCTCCTAGTAATATAAAACAGTACCAAAGCAGACCAAAAAAAAAAAAAAAAAGAAATCCAATTAGGTGTAAGTGGGTGTACACAGTAAAACACAAAGCAGATGGTTCCATAGAACGGCACAAAGCAAGACTGGTTGCTAAGGGTTTCACTCAGACTTATGAGGTAGATTACTAGGAGACATTTGCACCGGTTGCTAAGGTGAATTCTGTGAGAATCTTACTCTCTCTTGTTGCAAATTTAGATTGGCTACTTCTCAGTTTGATATGAAGAATGCCTTCCCTCTTGGAGACTTAGCAGAAGAGGTCTATATAGATATTTCTTCTGATTTTGCGAATGCAAAGCCCAACGGTAAAGTATGCAGGCTCCGAAAGTCACTTTAGGGGCTAAAGCAGTCTCCTAGGGCTTGGTTTGAAAGGTTTGCTCAAGCTATGCTGAAATATGGGTTCAAGCAAAGTCAAGTTGATCACATTTTGTTTGTGAAACACTCCTCACATGGTAAGACCACAGCTCTTATTGTCTATGTTGATGATATTGTTCTGACAGGAGATGATGTTGAGGAGATTCCTCGTTTGAAAGAAAATACTTAGCCAAAGAGTTTGAAATCAAAGACTTAGGTTATTTGAAGTATTTTTTAGACATTGAAGTAGCTTAGTCCAAGTATGGCATCTTCATATGCTAGAGGAAGTATGTACTTGACTTACTAAAGGAATCTGAAATGCTTGGAGGTAGACCATGTGATACACCTCTAGAACTGGGCCAGAAACTGAGTGAGGATTAAGAGGGAGATCCAGTGGACAGGGGGAGATACCAGAGATTAGTGTGCAAGCTCATATACTTATCCCACCCACGTCCAGACATTGCCATTGCCGTGAGCATGGTGAGCCAGTTTATGCATGGTCCTAGAACTTCCCACTTGGAGGCAGTTATGAGAATTTTAAGATACCTAAAGTCTTCTCTTGGAAAGGGTCTTTATTTCTCTATTTCTCAAAACATGACCATCTCAGTGTGGAGGCATTTACTGATGTAGATTGGGCTGGATTAGTTACTGATAGACGATCAACTTTCGGATACTGCACATTTGTGGGTGGCAACCTAGTCACATAGTGAAGTAAGAAACAGAATGTGGTGGCTGGATCTAGTGCCAAGGTAGAATTCAGGGCTATGGCTCAAGGTGTATGTGAGTTACTATGGATTAAACTACTGTTGGGAGACTTGGGAATCCATCAGATTGACTTCATATGCCTATACTGTGACAACAAAGCTGCAATCAATATAGCTCATAATCCAGTTCAACATGATAGAACTAAGTATGTCGAGATCGATACACTTCATCAAGGAAAAACTGACTAGCAGCATCATATGTATTCCATTTGTGAAGATTGGAGACCAATTAGCCAATGTTCTCACCAAGGGGCTAGGGAGCAAACCATTTCATGGCATTCTCAACAAGCTGGGCATGAGAGGTATCTTCGCACCAGCTTGAGGGGGAGTGTTAGAATAGGCAACAAGTTAGAAGAGGAAATATGTGATTGCATTTTCTTCTTATTTATTCCCTTGATTGGTGTAATAGGCTGGCCCATATATTATGCCTTATGACACTTCTATAATTGCTCAGTATTATTAATATAAAAGGGAATGAAGTCTAACTCATTCTCTAACTCTTTCTCTTCTCTAAACCTACACTTCATAGCTATGGATTCATTTTTGCCATCATGTCAGTGTAGTTAATGATTCATTTTTGTTGTAAACAATTCATTTTGCCATGTCAGTGTTGTAAGCTGTGGATTGCTTTATTTTTGTTGTAAACAATTCATTTTTGTGAAGGTTGATGTTGATCAAGAGTATGTTCGGGAGTATTCCAACTTATTTTGTTTCGGTGCATGTTATCCCTGTTTTAGTGGCGCATCGGTTGGAGAAATTGCAACGGAATTTTCTGTGTTGTGGTGTGGTGTAGGGTGGGGTGGGGTGGGTGGTGGTTTTAAGTATCATTTAGTGGATTGTAAGGTGTGTAGGCCCAAGGAGTAGGGATGTTTAGGTATTCGGAGCTTAGTGATTTTTAATAGGGCCTTGTTGGGGAATTGGTTGTGGCACTTTTTGGGGGAAGTGGGTCGCTTGTGGCATAGGTTGGTGGTGCCTAAATAAATATGGTATTGGTTGTGGGGATTGGTGTTCTGGAGAGGTGAGGAGTACTCATGGGAGGGGTTTATGGAAAGGTATTTGGCTTGGGAAGGGGGAGTTATGGAGATGGGTTAGTTTTAGGGTGGGTTGTGGTGTCCGGGTGCGCTTTTGGACGGATTGGTGGTGTGGCGAGCGGAGTTTGGCTTCTTGGTTTTCATTGGTGTTCCAGATTGCGGATTGTCAAGATGTGGAGGTTGCCTCCTACTTGTCTATAATGGATTGTAGGATGGTGTGGATGTAAAGCTTCGTCGGGTAGTGTTTGAATGGGAGGTCGATTAGCTGGTGGGCCTTTTGGCAGAGTTGTATGGTTTGAGGGGTGTTGGGGTGGGTGAGGACGGGTTGAGGTGACTGTGTAAGGGGGCCAAAGGGGTGTTCTCTGTGTCCTCTTTTTATTGGCCACAAGTGGAGGCTACAGATGTTTCTTTCCCTTGGTGAGGGGTTTGGGTTTTTGGGATGCCTTCTAAAGTGGCATTTTTTGTTTGGTCAGCTGCACATGGTCAGATTTTGACTTTGGATAATTTAATCCGGCGTGGGCATGTTTTGGTTAACCGGTGTTGTTTGTGTTGTCACGATGTGGAGTCTGTGTTGCATCTTCTTCTTCATTGTCCAGTGATATTTCAGTTATGGAGGTTGATTTTTAGCGTGTTTAATTTGGCTTGGGTGCAGCAGGGTACAATGAAGGAGATGTTGGGGAGTTGGAGGGGGCCGGGTAGGGAAGTGGCGTCGTAGGGCCTGGTTGTTGGCCCCTCTATGTCTTATGTGGTTGATGTGGCTGGAGCAGAATCGGCGGTCGTTCGAGGGATTAGCGTCTTCAGTTTCTTGTTTGAAGAACAAGTTGCTGGTTGTCTTGCACAGATGGATCTCGGGGACTGTGGATCTGGATTTATTTACCATTTTGAATTTCATTGGGTCTTTATTTCTTCATTGATTGTAGTTAGTTCTTTGCATCATCTGGATGCTTCTTCAATAAAATTTACTCCTTATTTATTAAAAAAAAAAAAGAAAAAGAAAAAAAAAAGCTCTTGTCAGCCTATACATGTAAGCTTTTTTTATTCTTACTTTTGACCTCTTCTCTGGTAATGGTTTTATATCTTCTAATACTAATCCAGAAAAAAAAAATATATATGGAAATTTAATTCATGCTCATTTGATGTGGGTGCATTGTGGACAATTGACATTGTTGAATTGATGATCCATCCCTTCTTTCTTAGTCTAACTACTTGTTATGTAGTCAAGTTATGCTTTTTGTTAATGCCATTTAATATTGCAGGTTAAAAATTTTATCCTCCTTGGTGACATTCATAAGAGCATATACTTTCTTAGTTGGAAGGAACAGGGAGCTCAACTTAGCTTGTTGGCCAAGGATTTTGGCTCACTTGATTGTTTCGCAACAGAGTTTTTAATTGATGGAAGTACACTTAGTCTGATAGTTTCAGATGAGCAAAAAAATGTTCAGGTTAGAAACTTGTTTTTTAGCAGTTTCTTATGCATATAATATTGGTAGTTATGCTGTGTTGCAGAGTTCAGAAAGTAACTGAAACTTGTGGCAGTTGAGATCATATTATATTCCTCAACATGAACAAAGTTTGTGTTGAAGATAAAATGGAAGCCATCGTTTTCCTTTGTTCCTTCTTCTTTTTATTGCTGTTTTTTATTTTTTAATAATTTAAAGTTTGGTGTGTTTATTTATACCACATGATGATGTCCACCGCATCCAGTACCTATTCTATGTGGGGGCAAGTTTTACGTCGTGACTCATGGTAGCATAATTTTTGTCGTCGTCGTTAAATCGCGAATTGAATTATGAATCATTTTATTAAAATAGTGAATCGTATCCAATCGTGAATCATAAGATTCACTTTATTTAAATATATATTTTTATATATGTATATACAAAAAAATACACACATGGTGTTTAAAATAAAAAAAATATCAATATAGCTAAATTGTAAGTATGCATTTACATATAAATCTACGTATATCAACATAATTAATTTTTGTCTTTTTTTATTTTGTATAAACGACACTATATTATACATTATGCAAACAGAACCAAATTGCAATGAATCGTAGTGAAACACGAATAATCATAGTGAAATGCAATTGAATCGTAAGATTCACTCTTTAAGATTCAACAACACACTAGCCCTCTTTGAGCTTTCTTGGCATTAAGCATGTCTTGTTAAGCCTCAGCTCAAAGGTTCAAGGGCCGGTTAGAGAATTCAACAACATGAATTGACTGGTTTTGATTGAAACTCATCGAATTCGATGGATCGAATTATGAATCGTAAGATCCTAACAACCATGATTTTTGTCAATACCATGGAGATACAATATCAAATTATATATCCCAGAGCTATGGTTCTAATGTACTTTGGGAATCACTTTTTAACTAACAGTAATATTGTTTCCCCTAATGAATCCCTTGCATGCACAAACAGATATTCTATTATGCGCCGAAGATGTTAGAGAGTTGGAAAGGACAGAAGCTTCTTTCAAGGGCTGAGTTTCATGTTGGTGCTCATGTGACTAAGTTCTTGCGGTTACAGATGCTTCCTACTTTATCTGATCGAACCAATGCTAATCCTGGCTCTGACAAAACCAATCGATTTGCTCTATTATTTGGCACCCTCGATGGCAGCATTGGCTGTATTGCACCTCTTGATGAACTCACATTTCGTAGACTGCAGTCACTGCAGAAAAAGCTTGTTGATGCTGTTCCCCATGTCGCTGGACTAAATCCAAGATCTTTTCGTCAGTTCCGTTCAAATGGAAAAGCTCATCGGCCTGGCCCTGACAGCATAGTTGACTGCGAGTTGCTTTGCCAGTAAGTAATTTTATTTTATTTTATTTTAGTTTTGTTCCTCTAGGTATTTCTAATATCTGAAAGGAAAAGACTCCATTTCCAAGGTAGAGTAACTTCCCAATTAACTACTTTCACTCACAGAGAACACTCATACACTGGTGGAAAGTGTAACACCCCGAAAATTAGGCAGAGTATATCTATTTATGCTACAAAACCCACTTGATAGACAAACACATATATATAGCTAACTATTATATACATCTATTTCCATTAAATTCCAAATGCAAAATACATGCTATTCACATCTTAATGCCCCAGTTCCAATCCCAAGCATACATTTTACAAGAAGTATGAAATGGAAGCCGAACAAATAATAAGTGCCCTACAGGCTTACAAATTTATCCAAGAACATTCTTGGTTACACAAAATGGAGTTTCAACTCAACACAAATACAGCCCTGAGCTTACATTCAACAAAAAATAATAATACAAAAATAAAGCCTTAGCTCCGAGTCCTCCCAAGTCAATGCCTCGGCGGAGGCATAGCACCTGTACCTGAAATGGTTTCCCTTATAGGGTGAGCCACAGCCCAGATATATTACACAACATATGGACCATGACAAGACTAAAGAGGAGTATGCTCATGCCATGTTCATGATAAAACAGTTTATCTCTCTTTTTATAAAGCATACATTTTACAAGAAGTATAAAATGGAAGCCGAACAAATAATAAGTGCCCTACAGGCTTACAAATTTATCCAAGAACATTCTTGGTTACACAAAATGGAGTTTCAACTCAACGCAAATACAGCCCTGAGCTTACATTCAACAAAAAATAATAAAACAAAAATAAAGCCTTAGCTCCGAGTCCTCCCGAGTCCTCCCAAGTCAATGCCTCGGTGGAGGCATAGCACCTGTACCTGAAATGGTTTCCCTTATAGGGTGAGCCACAGCCCAGATATACTACACAACATATGGACCATGACAAGACTAAAGAGGAGTATGCTCATGCCATGTTCATGATGAAACAGTTTATCTCTCTTTTTATAAAACATGCAATGCTGAGATGCAACAACAGATATAAAACCATTTTCATTTTAAACCATATTTGTTACATGAATACAGGCTCTGTGAATCTCTAGGTGAGTGTCTGCAAGTAGGCCCTAATGCATTACCACTGTCATTTTTACTAGTAAACTTGAAGGCTCGACACCTAACCGCGCGGTTCCACACCCCCTACCCAGATTCACCAAGTATTCATCTTTTCACAAATAGATACATATTCAAACATTTCTCAAAAATAGATACATTTCCATTGAAATGAATGTAATGCAATGTCCAATGCAACAAATGAGGAATGTGGTTCAATTTACCTAAATCTCATGCATTTCTACAACAATTATGGCTGTCCTCCACCGATAGCCCAAAACAGATATTTCTAAACACATATTTTAACAATTAAATTCCAAAAATTCCGATAAATACAATCTATTCCACATCTCCTCAAATATGAACAACTACACTATTTTTCATATATATCACAATCACGTCCGGTAACCTCTTAAGGTCCATTTCTAACCGTGTCGGTTTTATTCCAACAGATACATTAAGCAAAATAATACCGTTAATGCCTAAGAAAACATCATTTTCTTTCCAAACTCATTCTCCAAGCATTATTCAACTATGACATCCTATTTTGATCAAAAGCCCCAAAAGTTAAACGTAATTTCTTTGTTTTTTTTTAAAATGCTCTTTTGGTCGCAAAACGGTAAAAATTTCAAAACCGATCGAATCGAAATCTGTTTTTGTTCAAATTTAAAACATAGCTATTTCATAACCTTACAAACATATTCCAAGTTTACACTTTCGCAATTTGAGTATCAACTTTTTATTTTTCTTAAAATTTCTCTTTTAAGCAAAAAAATCATAAATTTTTTAAAAATTCTAATTAAATTATATACAACTCTAAGCTCCATATAATTAAGTAAAAATACATAAAGAAGTGTAGGAAAAATCCTTATCTCAAGCCAAGAAGCTTTTAAATTTTTTGACAACAGAAATTAAATCTGCTCGGAGCCAAACGACGTCTTTTCCGCCCTCTACGTTTTGATCCAAAGCACTAGGGGTCAAAAATGACTTATACTAGATCAAACCCATGAAAAACCAACATTGGAACCCTTTTCTCTCTCTCTTCACAGCAAGAACTCAAAGTTGAACAAAACATCCTATTTGGTCATTTATATATATATATATATATTATAAACAAATATCTAACCAAATATCTAACCATAAATATCTAACTATATATATATATATACACCTATATATATATATTTCAATCAAAAATACATTTCAACATCTTTAATGACAAAAGTAAATATAATATTTTCTCACTACAAAATATATTTGGTTTAATGGTACACACCATAAATATTCACAATTCTTTTATGGTAGTCAAATAATAATAATAAAACACAACACTATTACGTGGTTACTAACGGGTCACAATTCAATCAATTGGGTCCAAAATGAATGGAGTTTAATCATTTAAAATAAATCCCCAACTGATTTATCTCAAATCATAGTCCGAACAACCAAAACTCAATTTTAAATTTTGCTATAAATTAAACTGAATACCAATCAGTCCGTGAATTTTTATAAAATAAATACTCATCATTAAATTTTGAAATTTTTATTTAGCGTGCTAGACTCATATGGGAACAACATATAAAAATTTCATAATTTTCTAAGATCGGAAACTATTTTTAAAAAATACAAAACCAAACTGTTTTCGCACAGAATTTACACGGCAATCAAATTCAAAAATTTGCTCAATTAAATTATGCGCTAGCTATTAAAAAAAAAATTTGGACCATTACAGAAAGTCTATATAGTCTTTATTATCCCCATAAAATTTTTAGTACGAGTAAAAGGAATTAATACTTTAGTCGCCTGAGTATCTGTATGCTTTTACTTGGGCCCTTCCAAACTTAACAAAATCCTTATTAGTCCCATTCAATAGTGAGTATTTAGAAAATTAATTAGCATTTTGGCCCCTAAAATCTATATAATTTTAGCTCGCCCAAAATCTAAATATTTATACCTTTGCCTTTGCACAATTTTTTGGTATGCCACTACCCCATATGGTGAACTCAATTCCATGAATTTGTAAGTTTGCTGAATGAAACTGTATATTTAATTGTGTAATAATACAAAAAAAATACATCTAATTATATAGTAAGCCTAATCCTAAGACTAAAGGAAACACTGCCATATATATACACTTATACAATCTCTCAGAAAAGGAAACATTGCCTAACCTAATATTCTCCCACCCCCGCTCAAACTCTAAGGTGTTGTAGCAGAAAATACTGAGAGTTTACCAAGAAGAACTGAAATTGAGTAGTGGTGTGAGTCTTGATAAAAAAGTCAGTAAGTTGTAGAGCCGAAGAGATGAAATGAAGCGAGATAGAGTCGGACTGTAGATGCTGACAGATAAAGTGACAATTAATCTCAATGTGCTTTGTGCGTTCATGGAAGACAGTGTTATGGGCAATCTGTATAACACTGAGGTTATCACAATAGAGGGAGTTCAGAGAAGATTGAGGGACACCCAAGTCAGAGAGAAGACAATGAAGCCAGATAACTTCAGCAGTAGCGTAAGTCTAATCAGGAGCAACAACAGTTTCAGTAGTAGAACGAGAAACAACAGTTTATTTCTTGCTTTTTCAAGAAATCAAGGAATCATTAAGAAACTTACAAAAACTAGAAGTGGACTTACGATCGGTAGCATCACCAGCCTAATCAGGATCAGCATAGGTAACTAAAGCCAAGGAAGAAGTAGAGGACAACATCAATCCTTGGAAGATAGTATCACGAAGATAGCGAAGAATTCGAACCAAAGCAACCCAATGTGTAAAACAAGGAGCAGAAACGAACTGACTAACCATATGAACAATATAGGCAAGATTATGATGAGTAACCGTCAGATAGACTAAGCAACTCACGAGTTACCGATATAAAGTATGATCAGGCGGAGGAGCACCATCAGTAGTATTAAGTTTCACGTTAAGCTCAATGGGGGTATCAGCAATCTTAGTGTCAATAAGACCAGCACGGCTAATAACTTCATTAGCATACTTGGCTTGGGACAGAAAGTAGTCTTTAGGAGAAAAAGTCACCTCAATACCAAGAAAGTACCGCAATGGGCCCAAATTCTTCATTTCGAAGGTGCGGAAGAAATGCTGCTTGACCTCAGAGATAGTAGAAGAATCAGAGCCAGTAATAATTATATCAGCCACATACAACAATAAGGCAACAAAACCAGCTAGAGATGGCAATCTGAAACCGGCTTGATGGGGACCCGACCCCCCGATCCCGAATATAACGGTTATTCCTCGAGAAATACCCCTGACGGGCCGGGGATGGTGATAAAAAAAAAATCCTCGATGATAATCGGGCCGGGGACGGGGATACATGTTTCAGTCCCGGCTCGCCCCCAGTCCCGGCCCGCCCCGCCCCGGCCCCGAGCCCCGCCCCGTTTGTCCCCTGAATGATTTATATATTATATATATATATATATATATTTTTATTCTCATCTATATCTCATTATAGATCTACTCTCTCTCTCCATTCCTTACATTTCTCTTCCACCGTCTCTGGTCTCTCTCTTCTTCACCATCTCTCACCGCCACCTCCTCCTCCACCAATCCTCCCACCACTCCCCTCCTCCCTCCTCGTCCTCCTTCTCATGCCTCTCATCTCTTTCGTCTCTCTCCCTCACTCACGTCTCTCATCTCTCTCATCTCACCGTGTCACAGCCTCGTACACAGGACAAGTTTGAAGATGGACAGACCGTGGTTCGATCGATCTGAAGTTACCACTGCCGGCTCCTCTCGTCTCACCGGCAGCTCCCTCACCGCCGCCTTCTTCTCTCCATACGGTCTCTCTCTCTCTCTCTCTCTCTCCCTCACAGATCTTCTCTCTCTCTCACACGGATCCATTGGTTTCAGATCTGTTGGTGATGAAGATGTTGCTTTCCGATCTGTTGGTGATGAAGATGTTACTTTCAGATCTGTTGGTGATGAAGATCTGTTGTTTTGATTTTTTTTTTTTTTTGATGTTCTTGATGGTGATGAAGATCTGTTCTTGATGCTGTTTTTTTTAAGTCACGCTCGAGCGGAGCTCCTTTGCCTGCATGTCCGCTCGAGCGTAGAAAGCCACGCTCGAGCGAGACCCGGGATTTTCGGGGTCGGGGAAACCCGATCCCCGTTGGGGACGAGGATGGGGACTGTGACAGGTTCCCCGTCGGGGATCAGGGCCGGGGACGGGGAAAGTTTTGCCATTGGGGATCGGGGACGGGGAGGGTGATTCCCGGCCCCGCCTCGCCCCGTTGCCATTCCTAAAACTAGCAGAGGTGTGGAGGAGAAACAAAGAAGAGTCCTAGGCAGAAGGATAAAATTCAAGCTCAGTAACAGCAGTCTGAAAGCGATCATACCGTGTACGAGGAGATTGTTTCAGACCATACAGAGCACGCCGAAGATGACAAACCTGTCCAGAGGAATGGTGAAGGCCAGGGGGAGGACACATGTAAACCTCCTCAGCAAAATGACCATTAAGAAAAGTATTCTTAACATTCATTTGATAAAGAGGCCAATGACGGACAACAGCGACAGATATCAAAGTACGGACAATAGCCATTTTGGCAACAGGAGCAAGGGTCTACTCATAATCAATATCACACTCCTGCAAAAAATCCTTGGCAACCAAGCGAGCCTTGTAGCGCTCAAGAGAACCATTAGAATGAGTCTCGACTTTGTAAACCCATTTGCAACCAACCAAATTCTTACTAGCAGACAAAGGAACTAACTCTCAAGTACTAGTTTTTTGCAAAGCAGACAACTCATCCTTCATAGCTTAAATCCAATGAGGATCCTGACATGCCTCTTTGTAAGACTGAGGTTCTGAAAAAGTGTGAATAGCAGACAAAAACGTACAATATGAAGGTGAAAAACATGTTTTAGCAAAACCAAGTTTGATTATCTGTTTACGGATGCGAAGGGGATACTTATGGTTAGCAAGATCAGAGTCGTTAGAAGTAGGAGGATCAACAGCAAAGGGCAGAGACAACTGGTGGAGGAGGAGCTTTGCGATGAGAATAGACTAACGGGGAAGGAGAATAAGCCGAAGGAGGAGAAGTAGCTAGAGGTAAAGCAGGAGGAGAATGAGGAATAGCCTTAGGGGGGTCAGTGGAGAAAGACTCAGCAAGAGGAATGGTAGGAGGAGAAGAGGGAACAAGGTTGTGGGGAACAGTAGAGATGTACTCATTAGGAGGGACCTCAGAAGGAAATGGATCAATGTGAACCAAATCCTCTTTGGAAACTGGAGCAGTGATAGGATGAAGCTAAAAGTAAGGCAGACGTTCGAGAAAAGAAACATGACAGGAGGCAGAAAGACGACTGGAAATATGGTTGTAACACCGATAGCCTTTCTGAGTAGGACTATAACCAAAAAAGACACATAGGATAGACTGGGCACTAAGTTTGGTCCGTTTTTTGCGGGAAAGAATGACAAAATAAGCAGATCCAAACACACGAAGGAGAGAGTAATTAGGAATTTGAAAGAACAAAGCCTCATAAAGAGATCAACCAGAAAGAAGGGGAGTAGGCATGCAGTTGAGAAGAAAAACAACAGTAAGAACTGCCTCCTCCCAAAATGAAGCTGGAACTAAGGCAGAGAGAAGAAGAGGCCTAGCTGTCTCAAGGAGATGACAGTGTTTATGCTCGGCTCAACCATTTTGGGTAAGTGTATCTATACAGGAAGTTTGGTGAATAGTACCAAAATTGGCCAAATACTCAGAACTCATTTTTAAAATATTCCCTGCCTAAGTCAGATCGTAACACTTTAATTGTAGACCCAAATTAAGTAGTAAGCATAGACTGAAAGGTACGGCATATCTGATAGATATTAGACTTATGAGTCATAAGATAAACCAAAATATAACGGGTGCAGTCATCAACAATGACACATAGTATGCAGAACCTCATTTGTTGAGAACAGAATAAGGGCTCTAAACATCAGTATGAACTAAAGAAAACGGTGTATCAAATATAGAAGTACTTTTATGAAAAGATAAGGCTGTCATTGTGGTAAGTTTGCACCCCTCGACATTCAGTAAGTTCACTAGGAGAAATTCTACCTAATATACCTGATTGAGATGAAACTGTAAATGGTCAGCAGACGAATGCCCTAATCTAGAATGCCATAAGTAGAAAGGACTAGATAGAGAATCTAACTGAAAAGAGAAAAAGATAGTCAAAGAGGTTGTCATAGGCAGATGCAAGCTCTCCACCACATAGAGGTCTTTAACTTTATGGCCAGTCCCAATTTGTTGGTTGAACATCCGATCTTGCACAAAACAGATAGAAGAAAAAAAGTAGCATCAAAATCAGAGGCATCAAGCTGATTGATAGATAATAAATTGACAAATAACTGAGGAACATAAATGACAGATAGAATAGAGACAACAGACATAACAGATGGTAAGACATACCCAACAGATACAATAGACATACCAGATCCATTAGCAGCATTAACAGTAATAGAAAAGGGAGGGGGAGTACAATTTTGAAGTAAGAAGAGATGGAGAGTCATATGATGAGAGGCACCAGTGTCAAAAATCCAGAATGATGAAGAGATACTTGAAGAAGACCCAAGCAAACCTGAATGAAGAGAGGAAACAATTGAAGCAGACAGGAATGGCTGAGAGGTAGACAAACTATGCTGAAGCTGACTAATCTGAGTACTCAAGGAAGCCAAGTCAGGATCAAGAGCTAGAGCAGATGCAGTAGAACCGGCGGGAGGCTGAATGGTAGTTAGAGGAGAGGCGCAGAACTAGATCAGAAATTGTTGAGAAGACGAGGTAGACACAGGTAAAGCAGAAAGATATCCCGTTTTGGGACAATGATACTTCCAATGGCTCCTCTGATGGCAGAAGGCACACTCATTTGATGCCAATGGCCCTTTCTTAGGCTTTGCTGGAGGTTGAAGCTGATGGGTATCCGTCATTATGAGTGTATTCGTAAACAAGAACAATGAACACACTCACAATATTGGAAGTCAAATGGGTCCAACCAAAACCAGAGATACAAACTGTGGTCAAAACGTAATAAGGGAGAAACTCCAAAACAGGGTCAAAATGTAATAATAGAGATGCTTTAGAACACGTTAAAGGACCAAATCGAGAGAACCAGAAGGAGAGAGATAGATTGAGTTGTGAGGAGACGAATCACTACTACCACATCGAATAGATGGGTCGACTAGATAGGTCACCCAAGTCGTCCAGAAAGAAGATGTCGAACTATGTCAGAGGTCGAGAGAAGAAACAGACCCAAACGAACCATAATCAGACAGCTTCGATCGAGACCAACGAACCAGGAGAGATGACAGCTTCGATCGAGACCAACGAACCATAATCAGAGACTAAAGGCTTCAATCGAACAGAAATGACAACCCACGATGAGTGTCGAGTCGAGTTTCTGAACCTGAGAGAGACGACAGCCCTTTGTGATCAGGCCTAGAACAGAGAGTCGTGACTTCAACCTAGAGACAAGAAGTTGTCGCGACTTTGCAGAACCACCGAGAGAACTTCAACAACCTACGGTTTTGGCTCTGATACCATGTAAGTTTTCTGAATGAAACTGTATATTCAATTGTGTAATAATACAAAGAATATACATCTGATTATATAGTAAGCCTAACCCTAAGTATAAATGAAACACTGCCATATATATACACCTAAAACACTGCCATATATATATAAACCTAACCTAAAGGAAACACTGCCATATATATACACCTATACAACCTATACAATCTTTCAGAAAAGGAAAAGTTGTAACTTAATATTCTCACAAAATTCATCACCTGTCAATTAAGTTTGGTCTTCGACACATCACTGTTTGTTTAGTTATATGCCATTTTGTGTTCAAGGTGAAAGTTGTCATCCTTTTCTTGCTTGTTGGTGGGTGCTGTAACCACAACTTGAAATGTAACCAACCAGATTGGGGCTTGGTACAATGATGTTTTGATTCTGTATGCATTTTATTAGGCTCAAGTGTGAACATCATGAAGAACTTTGTTGTGGACTGCTCCTGTTCAGAATGAAGTACCATATAATTTCTCCACCACCATCACAAACTAGAGTAAAATTATACGGCGTAATGGATCCATTCAATTTTCTTAGTTGGCCCAATCATAAATTCAAAGGTTGGATGTAAGATGATGGATCCTATTAATGTACAGGGGAGAGTTTAGAAGAGAGATAGAGCTTAATCAATATGGATTAGCTCCTCTAGCTTTGTATGTATATATATTAAAGAAGTTACGTGAAAATCGCATAAATACCCAACAAATCCATTCAATTTCCTTAGGATGCCTGTTGTTTTGTCAGTGTCCTTAGAACCACGAACATGTGAACTTTAAAAAAATGTAGTACACGACACGACATGTGAGGGATCTCTTAAACGTTTTAATGAATGGTTTTAGATGCCAAGATGAATCATAAGGATTCATGTGTAATTGTCCTCTGATTTCCATGATTCTGTAGTTATGAGATGCTCCCACTGGAGGAACAGCTTGAGATTGCTCACCAGATTGGAACGACTCGGTCACAGATTATGTCAAACTTGAACGACCTAACTCTGGGCACAAGCTTCTTGTGAGCATGGATGGGTCACAGATTATGTCAAACTCGAATGACCTCACTCTGGGCACAATCTTCTTGTGATCATGGATGGCCATTCCAGATTCAGAACTGCAGCCAAGGAGCATGAAACAACTAAAAGTGACTAGCCACATGTCGGTGGGCCTACATCGTGTTGTATCTGATCAAATCCAAACTTATTTGTTGTAAGATGGGCTCTTTGTTTGCCAGTTGGTGAAACCGACTTGATATGTATATTTCTTTTAACAGCTTGGGGGCTCATTTTGTTTATACCTTTAATTATTTGTTTTTGATGATGGAAGAGAGAGACTTGGTATGTGATCAAATCCGGTCAAATTTGTTGCAAGACTGCCCTTTACTTTCCATCAATTACTTGATTTCTTTTTCTTTTCTTTTTTTTTTATAGGTATTTTTTTCACTATAGGATGTGATCCTTTTATCATTTGTTTCTGATAATTGATTATGTATTAGAAAACTGGATGTCAACCTGGCCACTGATTGAGTCTGATATCTCTTTAAGAACCCAATTGATTTGCCAAATCAACTAATGTAATAACTTTATATTATCTTGTAGGTATGGTATGCATTATGATTATTGCATGCATGGCGGAATTAGCATTTTGATTTGAAGGGGGCCAAACTAAGGGATTTTAATCAATGAAGACTCACTTGAGATAATTTGAGGCTTAAAATGATAATTTTAAATGGGTTTTTAAATTTTTAATATTGTTATAATTTTTTATTTGAATGTTCTGTTTGCAACTGCATGGAAAAATCTGGTCTTTAAAATTTATTTCTCTCCTTTTAATTGCAAAATAACCAAAGAAAATAGAAAAATTACCTCCATAATATAAGTTTAATCATATGATGATAAAATCTTGACAATATGTTTTTTTGCCCTGAGAACGACAATGGCCCTTTTTGGTAGGGTTTATTTCTAGTTTATTTTAACTTTTAGCTTAATTTAAGCTATTTTGATGTGTTTGGTTCAGTTTAACAATACAATTTATGATTTTTTGTAAGTCAAAATTCAACTTATTCTTTGAGTGGGGGAGGAGAAGCTTAATTTATAAGTTAAAAATCAGCTTATGTTCACAGTTATAAGGTGTAAACTGTTAAGTTATAACTTATAATCACTTTTTCACAGTTCTACTAAACGGGCCAATGTGTTTTGAAACTTAAAAAGCTTTGTGCTAAGAATTTTGTGATTGAAAGACAAAAAAGTGGGGGTCTGCTAATTGAGCATTTTTTTTTTTTTATCACTATTCTTGTATTAATAAAGTGATTTGGAAATTGTAATTTTTTTTTTAAGAAAATGCTATAGCTATTCTTGTATTAATAAAGTGATTTGGAAATTGTAATTTTTTTTTTAAGAAAATGCTATAGGCCCAAATTTGTTATCAAATAAATGACCAAATATCTTATATGGGTGTGGAGTTTACAAAATTGCGGGCTCCTGTGGTCATTTGTTTGGTAGAAAATTTAGTATCTTTAGCCTTACTCTTTTTTTTTTACATCAATGTGTTCTTATTTTTTTAAAGGTTAATAAGTGTGATTGATTTTGGAAAACAAAAGACTAAACGTGTATATTTTTAGGTAGTTTTTGGTTCATTAAAATACAATGAGATGATTATTACTTAATCTTTTTATGGAACGATCATTCATTTGTACTGATGAATGATAATTTCATTTGCAAACTAGGTCTTTTTTATTTTTATTTTTATTTTTAGTCAACTAAGCGCAAGAATGAACATCAAGTATGAGTTTTTCATAAAAAGTTCAAGCTATAGAAATTTAACATCAAGTATGAGTTTTACATCAATGTGTTCTTATTTTTTTAAAAGTTAATTAGTGTAATTGATTTTGGAAAATAAAAGACTAAACATGTATATTTTGAGGTAATTTTTGGTTCATTAAAATAAAATGAGATGATTATTACTTAAGAATGATCATTCATTTGTAATGACGGATGATAATTTCATTTGCAGACTAGGTTTTGTTTTGTTTTTTTTTTTAAAAAAAAAAAATCTTTTAGTCATCGAGTATGTTTCATAAAAAGTTCAAGCTAGAGAAATTTAACATAAAATATTGATCTTAGGTTGAACATCAAGTTGTCTTAAATTAGCTTATGGTACTTCTTGAAAAAAGAAAAGAAATTATATATATATATATATATATTTAAATTTATAAACATGAAATATGAGAAGAAAATTAAAATTAATTTTGTTGTAATATGGTTTAATACTGTGGAAAAATATTGAGTAATATAAGTCTATTTGATATTTATTATATAATTATGTATATTGATAGTAGAATTCTATTTTCTTAGGTTGAGAGACTAATTTAATTTGAGTTGATAAGTTTTAATTTGGAATTTGATTGCTTAGAATATGTTTGGTAACGTTTATATTTATAATTTTTTGTTTATATTTATAGAAGTTTAAAAACTATAAACAAAAACCCGTTTGATTTATGTTTTTATTTTCAAAAAGTTGTAAACTAAACACAAGAAAGTAAGTTCTACTTATTTTTTTTTTTTTCGTTTTCATTTTCGTTTTTATTTTTTGGTTAATTTCTTCTTCTTTCTCCTATTCTTTTCGAGTACCACTCGCCGAACGACGGCTACCATTGCCAATAACCTCCTTTGACCGTCATATCCTTTAGCAACCACTTGCTATAGCCGCTACCAACTACCTCCTATCGACGGTGATCATTTTTGGACACCACATTTTTTTGAAAATCACCTTGGGCAATCAATCGACTACCATCTCCGTCCATTGAGAATTACTTTTGGCCATCATGTTCCATGGCCAACAACCACATTTGGCCATTGCCAATTGCTTTCCACCGACAACCACTACTGGCAACTCCTTATTTTTACTTGTTTTCAAAATAAAATTTTAAAATACTTTTGTATCAAACTTATTCAGTGTGTTTGGTTTGAGTTTTTTGGATTAAGTTTTTTGAAAATTGAATTTTTTGGTTTTCGTATTTTTTTTTGTTTTTAGTGAATATTTTTAAAATTTGAAATGTTTTTTTTAAAACTTTTTTAGATGCATCTTACTTAGATGTATCTAAAAAGTAAAAAATTTGTGAAAAAATATTTTAAAAAATTAATAAATACATAAAAATATAAAAAATATACTGAATTCTCGTATTTTTTTTGTATTTTTTCTATTTAGTGAATTTTTAAAAGGTTTTTTTCACAATTTTTTTTTTAGGTATATTTATGGTAGGTATGTCTAAAAATTAAAAAAATTGCTTAAAATATTAAAAAAATTCAGTAAAAACAAAAAAATACGGAAAATAAGAAAGTAAAATTTTTTGAAAAGTGTTTTTGGAAAACTCTAACCAAGCAAAGTGTTATTATTTTTTTTACCCAAAATAAATATAAGTATATTTAATATTTTTTGCAAACTAAAAATAATAAACCGTAAACGTTGTCAAATGGTACCTTAAAATTATACTGTCCAAATTTTAAAATTTTACAAATTACACTTAAAATTATTTGAATTAAATCCGCTCTAGTTGCATCCTTACATATGACAATGATGGTTGAGGGTATCATCATTTTTTTATAAATAATCTAGAAACGGTTCTTAACTCCCAAATCATCTCTTGTTGAGGGGTATCATGTCTTTTGAATTGGTCAAAGAAACATAACCTACTAAAGATGCCTTAAATCCTTATCAAGGAATCCTAATTCTTGGTAATGATCTTCGAGTTGAATCCATCAATACATTACACATGTAATAACGTACAAATCCAATAATCGAACGATAAGAAAGATCTTTAAATGAATACAAAAAAGTTGTGTAATTGAGAATTATCAAAAGAGTTATGATCCAATTAATCCTGTTAACTAATTTAACTACAGCTTACACTACATTAATTTATTTTTAATTTTTATTATTTTTCCTAGAATGTGGTTGAGGAATGATTAAAGTTGGGGGGACCTTTGACGTTGATTCCTCACCAAGCAATTGAAACATTTTGTGCATTTGCAACACTGCCCAAATTGCTGTTTAGGTACCAAGTGCTTGTCAATCAAAAATCTTCTCGAGTTAAAATAAAATAAATTAACTAACCCACTCGCAAAGCGACATGTCTTCATTGATCAAATCTTCAAATCAGAATAAAAATAATTAATATACAAATTAGTAAATTTTATAAATCTTTTGTACTTATTAATGCAATACTTACTCTATCATCTTAATAAATCTCGTTTCAATTATTAAGGTTTTACTCATACATATCTATCAGTAAGTATAATAAATTAATAAAATTTATTATTATTTTTTAATCAAGTGATGGACAATGAGCCAACACAACAGGGCATGGTTAAACTTGTTTTGAGGGCCCTAATTTTACTTTTTTTCTTGGCACAAGATAGAAAAGGGGTTACACAACAATATGTCATGATTAGTTCAATTTTGCAGATAATGTAATCACCTTTTTTTAGGGTACTGATCTGTTGGTGTATAGAATTTTTGTAATAATAGTTGGAACATTCCTTCAAGGCAAGGGTCCCCCATGTTGGACTTGGTTTTTCTTTTACAAAGTAAAATAACTGTGTCAGGCCAATTTTATTTGTGTTCTTAGACCTGGTTCATATATAGTATATTTTTTCAACCAAGAAGAACATGAACTAAGTCTATGGTTACTATATTGAAACTATTGTTCAATGTGATGTTGGTTAAGATTTGAAATGGTGGTGAGGTTCAAATTAAAGTAGTTTAATCTTTTCGCGATTCAAACTGGTATTGGTTAATCAATTAAGATTTGTTTAATTAACACTTACACCTCACTAAAAAGTCAGGAGCTCGATTTCTATTACAAAGAAGACCATCCTTTTTAGATTACAACTTTTATCTACTAACAAACGTAATGTTAAAATGTTAATTATGATTTAGAGTAATGGGTTGGATGTAATTCAGACGGATTTTAGTCATGCCAAAACATTTCCAAAGGGCCAAAATATATGCATATTGTATGTTTAAAAGGCCAGAAATTATCTAATATTTTAGAACAATTATGTAACTGTTTGTTCAATTATTAATGTTTTGTGAATTTTTTACTCCCTTTCTAATTTTTGGGGCCATGTAAGGACTCAATCCCTTTCAATTAGACTGGTACACGGCAATCGTTTCAAAAAATTAACTTTTAAAAAAGATTGTATGATTTGAGATCAGGCAATTAACATTATTTTATTACCTTCTTTTCCTACAATATCTTTAATTATGTTTTTCTTTATTTAGTTATTTATTAAATTACTAAATTAAGGCATGGTGGTGTAAAGAGAATTTGCAATCGATACCATAAAACTAGATCTACAAACGGTCAGGATGGACCGAAATGAAGGGCTTGGGGCATGCTTTGCTTTTTTATTATTTATAAATAAAAATATAATAATCAAATGGAGGGGGGACAATGCATTGCGTGTGAGGGGCTATTCGCACGTGCGTGTCGACCCCTAAAATGATTTGGTCGTCTTCGTACGTACAAAATGATGATGCCGCACGTGCCTACAGTTTATGATGAATATATGTAGAGAGTAAAAG